TTGTTAAACAATTGCCTATTTTAACTATTAAAACTACGTATGCCTGTATGTACTTGTGTATTTCTGTTCAGGTGTGACCTGCTGTGTTGGCGACCGGGATGATGGGAGGAGAACAGAGTCATGATGGGAAGGAGAGTAAAGAGGAGAGTGAAAAACATCCAGAGTCTGCCGACACCGACAGCTCAGGATCTGCTGCTTCTGAAGGTAAACACTCATCTTTAGGGGTGAAAAGGAGCAAAGAACATTTACTCACAGATCTTGTTTTAAATTATTGTAAATGTTTTTAACTTTGCTGTAATTTAATCCGGAGACAAGTTGAATTCAATGAAATAAAATATTATTCAGGCCTGCATTCTCAAACTGTCACGATCCTTTGTAGCCTTGTTACTGTATTCATTCGCATGTTTAAGTTTAGTATCTGTCTTGTCCCTTAGTTTGGTGTCTTTGTATTTACTCCTAGTTCTTGGCGTTGTTTTATCCTAGCTTCAGTCTGTTTCCCTGTTGGCTGTAGTTTATTTGTGGTTTGTCTGCTTGTGCCTGGATTAGTTGTCACTTATATTATTCTGATCCGTCATGTCTTATTTTGTTACGGCCTGTGTTTAGTGTCCAGTAACCTGTGTTTTGTCTGTTCTCCCAGTAATCCCTTTGCCTGCCTGTCTCGTCAGTCCTGATCCCTGTCACCTGCATTGCTCCCGCCCTGCTCGTTAGTCCCTGTGTGTATATATATATATATATATATATATATATATATATATATATTTGGTGTTTCTGTCCAGTCATTGTAGCGTGTACACGCTCTGTCTCGTCTTGCAGTGTTTAGCCTGCCTTGCTTGTCGTGTCATCCGGTTTCCCTGCTTTCTGGATTATTTTCCCTTCTTTGATTTTTCTATTGGATTACCTTGTTTTATTTGGACTCAGCCACTCTGTAGTAAGCGTGCTCGCCTTCTGTTGCCTAAAATAAACCTTTTGAACTGTACCTGCTCTGCTCAGTGTGCTGCATTTGGGTCCACCAGCCTTCTCAACCACACACACATCCTGACACAAACACTTTCCCTACATAGATCATTTTCACTCAACTTAGTTCCTCTCCACATTTTTCCCCTGGTCATCCATGCTCCATCTGCAAAGGCTCTATGCCCCGCCAGGGGGGCCCGCGGTTAGTTTGAGAACCACTGGGTTAAATGCAGACAACAAATTTTGCATGCTGTGTATAATTGTATGCGACTATGAAGTTGATTAATTAAATCAATCTGTACAATTGAAATACATACATACATGCATACATTGTTAGCAAGGCAAGGCAAGTTTATTTGTATAGCACAATTTAACAACAAGGTAATTCAAAGTGCTTTACATAAAACATAAAAGCAACAGGGAAATATAAAAACATTTAAAAGCAACATGAAATATAATAAAAGTTACAGTGTTACAATCAGGGTTAAATGAGTTAAATGGAAATATGTAATTAAAAGCAATGATAAAAAGCTAAAAACAAAGAAAAACAAAACAGGACAGTAAAAGTTACAGTGCAGTGTAAGTTATCAATAAAAAGAAAAATCTTAAAGCAGACCTTTCAGCAGACCTGCAGTTATCTGGGAGTTTGTTCCAGATATACGGAGCATAATAACTGAACGCTGCTTCTACTTGTTTAGTTTTGACTCTGGGGACAGAAAGCAGACCTGATCCCAGACGACCTGAGAGGTCTGGATGGTTCATAACGAAGCAGAAGATCAGAAATGTATTTTGGCCCTAAACCATTTAGTGCTTTATAAACTAACAGCATGATTTTGAAATCAATTCTTTGACATACAGGAAGCCAATGTAAAGACCTCAGAACTGGAGTGATGTGATCCACCTTTTTGGTCTTAGTGAGGACTCGAGCAGCAGCGTTCCTCCCTGGCTCCAAAAACAATAACTAACTAAATTCTGGCACATCCAATCTTTGACCTGCTCAGTACAGTTACTCAGAGCCTGTATGGGATCATAGTCCCCTGGTGAAATGGTTATGTAAATCTGTGTGTCATCTGCATAATTATGGTAACATATTTTGTTGTTTTTCATAATCTGAGCCAGTGGAAGCATGTAAATGTTAAACAAAAGAGGTCCCAGAATGGAGCCTTGGGGAACTCCACATGTCATTTTTGTCAGCTCAGATGTGTGATTACCTATAGACACAAAGTAGTCCCTGTCCTTTAAGTAGGATTCAAACCATTTTAGTACTGTGCCAGAAAGTCCAACCCAGTTTTCAAGTCTGTCTAGTAATATGTTGTGGTCGACCGTGTCGAATGCAGCACTGAGATCCAATAATACTAAGACTGAAATTCTGCCACTGTCAGTGTTTAAATGGATGTCATTGAAGACCTTAACAAGAGCCGTCTCAGTGCTGTGGTGTGGTCGAAAACCTGACTGGAAGACATCAAAACAGTTATTTAGTGCCAAGAAAGCACTGAACTGTTGAAAAACAGCCTTTTCAATGATTTTACTTAAAAATGGGAGATTTGATATGGAAATTGCAAATTGCTGCATTATAGTAATTATTTTTACTCCCACAGACACCCCAGGAGAGCTGCCCCAGTGCCAGATGGGAAACAGGAAGGTGGACAACATGTGTTTCATGATCTCGTGCACCAACTGGTACTAAACTGATCCTGGTACAGCAGGTTAATGAACCTGTGGGAGAAGCTGGGACGTGTGAAGTTTGAGTTGTTGTTCTGGGACAGACGGTGCATTCATGAACCTGCCAAAAAAACCAAATGAAGTCCTTTGTGCTTGCTGCATTGTTCCACTGCTGCTCTTAAGAGGAAATCTTCTTTGGAAAATGCTGAATTGTTAATGAGCAGTTAGATTAGTGCACCTCTTTAATGCTGACTGTTGCTAGTGTGTAAACTTTTTCACCTGTTGTTTTTAGGATGAGATGCTATACCAATTTTACAGCTCCATGAATAGAAATGGATGAATCCTGTAATCTGCTGAGTCTGAAAGGAAAGCATACATGCAACATCATGCAATGCGTAACAAATTTGAGCTCTTACATTCAGTATTAGCAAAGGAGACGATGATGATGGCAACTTCGCTCTATTAAAAACACATTTCCCATAAACTCTCTGGCTTCCTCTATCAAAGAAGATGTTCCTACTTGTACAACCTTCCTAGAACTTGTCTACATGCATTTGCTTTTTCTCTTGTACTGAACTGGATTAACATGTTTGAAGTGCTCCACCTGCACTCAAAGAACAGCAGTAACAGAACTGAGTCATAAAGCAAAAGTACCTTTCTGCAATAAACACAGGATGATCATTTTCTACCAACTCTGACCCAGAAGCACACAATGAACAGTCTTAAATATGTTATATCAGTAAATGATAATTAGGGCAATATGTATGAAAATGTGTGTTTTTAATAAGCTTCCTGTAAAACCAAGACAAGTGCACCAGTCAGTAATAAACAAAAAAAAGCTGAAAATGTCTGCTGTTGTGCGGTATATCCATTTCATATCTATACACTAAATATGAGGCTTTCGTCAGCCAGTTAGCGTAGCTTAGCTGTTCAAAGACATTTTACAAATAAAACAAACCATATAACAGGTTAATCATTGAGCTTTACAAGTGCTGGTCGTTGGATTTGGTTACTTTTGGACAGAGCCAGGCCAGCTGTTTCCCCCTATTTCCAATCTATATGCTAAGCTAAGCTAGCCGGTGGCTGGCTCCAGCTTATTTACCGACGAGAGTGATATCAGTATGAACATCTGACTCTGTAAGAACGCAAATATGTGTATTTCCCCACAATGTCCAACTTGGCACATATTCCCACATAATTTATTTCCAAGAAGAAGAAAAGGGGGAGACACCAAGCGTACCACTAACTCTTGCAAATGCTGGTTCAGTGAAAGAGGTGTCAGTTTCCTTTGTCCTTTTTAAATGAATAAACTGACCAGGTAAATACATGTTAGATAGAAGCAATTATTCCATATACCAACTCTCCAAAAGCCAATTCAGTCATAAAAAGATGAGAAGAAAACGCAAACATTTAATATATGAGTCAAATATTGTTTGTCATGCTGTAAACAAAGGATTACAGCAGAAGTACTCCAATGATTACACCTGAATGTACTTTCCTTCATGCTTTGGGGAGGTATAAGGGGCTTTTTGCCTCGATTTCTGATAGGACAGATGGAGACAGACGAGAAATTAGAGAAATGCAGCAAAGGGCTGCACTGGACTCGACTGGAACCCCGGCAACTGCGATAAGGACCCAGCCTTGTACATGGGGCACATGCTTTACCAGCTGTGCTAACCACGCCCAAGCTCTTCATTTAAAGACGCTGTGTGGAGTTTTTATTGTACACACACACACACACACACACACACACTTTATTTAAAACATTCTCACCAAAAAACGATGCAGCGCCGTCACCACATATAGAAAGTGCAGCAGATGTTGTATGGCACTGGAAAACTAAAAAGGTCAAGTGGCAGGTTGCAGGCAGGAGTTTGTGCATTAAAGTAGTTAACTTGTTAACTTACAGTTTGGGAGCAGGGCCGCGCCTCCAGACACCTGTCAATCCTGCTTACCTGGTTCTTCACTCCTGAGACAGATCCCACACACTGTGTCTCCTTCTCCCCGGCCCTCAACATGTCCGTACCTGACCGGCCTAAGTGAACAACTTCCTCCACCACCTCACATCCATCCTCAACATAAAATACTTCCTCATTTAAATAAACTTTTAAAAATCACATTGTTGTTGTGTGGTCCTTGCAAGTGAACATACTCATCTCTATATGCTCATTCCATGGTACCCCTTTTTTCCATGATATCCCAGGGTACCCATAGTGTTTAGTAAGTAATATTTTAACTCCTCCAGTACATTCAAACTACAGCCTGCTGCACACAGTCACTCTACATATAATCTATACTGGAATGAATCACACCCTGTGTTACGGGTGAAGCAACAGGGTTGAGCAGAGGACTGATAAAGCTCCACCTCTCACCTGAGACAAACCAGGGAACAGTTTTTGTTCTTCCTCACTACAGAGAGACACAGAGTAAAAACCAGACGATCAGATTGACCTTCAGACCAAACAAACAACTTCCTCTGACTGAGTTCAGCTACAGGAGAGAAAAGTGGAAAACTACAACACTGCTGCTTCAACCTGCTGACGCTCCACACACTGAAGGTGAGTTTGACTAAAAACATAACATTAAAGTAGAGGAGGGAGGGGAGCCATGACTGACTGTACTTTCTGTCTGCTGGGGTTTCAGCTTCAGAGACAAAATGGCTTCCAGATCAGGGGAGGATCTCTGCTGTCCGGTCTGTCAGGAGGTCTTCAGAGATCCTGTTGTTCTGTCATGTAGCCACAGCTTCTGTAAAGTCTGTCTGAAGAGCTGGTGGAGAGAAAAACAAGCACCTGAGTGTCCAGTTTGTAACAGAAGATCTTCAAAGGATGATCCACCTCGTAACCTGGTGTTAAAGAACCTGTGTGAGGCCTTCTTACAGGAGAGAGATCAGAGAGCTTCAGAGGCTCTCTGCAGTCTGCACTCTGAGAAACTCAAACTCTTCTGTCTGGACCATCAGCAGCCAGTGTGTGTCGTCTGCAGAGATTCAGAAAAACACAGCAACCACAGATTCAGACCCGTCGATGAAGCTGCACGACAACACAAGGAGGAACTTCAGGAAACTCTGGAGCCCTTAAAGAAGAAGTTAAAGGTTTGTGAACAAGTTAAAGTGAAGTTTGATCAAACAGCAGAACACATGAAGGTCCAGGCCCGACACACAGAGAGGCAGATTAAGGAGCAGTTTAAGAAGCTTCAGCAGTTTCTAGAGGAGGAAGAGGAGGCCAGGATGGCTGCACTGAGGGAGGAAGAGGAGCAGAAGAGTCAGATGATGAAGGAGAAGATGGAGGCTCTGAGCAGAGAGATAGCAGCTCTTTCAGACACAGTCAGAGCCACAGAGGAGGAGCTGAGAGCTGAAGACGTCTCATTCCTGCTCAACTACAAGGCTGCAGTGGAAAGAGTCCAGCAGCGCCCCCTGCTGGATGATCCACAGCTGCCCTCAGGAGCTCTGATAGACCAGGCCAAACACCTGGGCAACCTGACCTTCAACATCTGGAACAAGATGAAGGACATGGTCTCCTACACTCCTCTCATTCTGGACCCAAACACTGCTCATCCAAGACTCATCCTGTCTGAAGATCTGACCAGTGTGAGACAAGGAGAGGAACAGCAGCTTCCTGACAATCCAGAGAGGTTTGATTATTATAACTACTCTGTCTTGGGCTCTGAGGGCTTTAACTCAGGGACTCACAGCTGGGAAGTCGAGTTTGATGACAGTACAGACTGGATAATTGGTATGTCAGCAGAGTCTGCTCAGAGGAAGGGAGACATACGGACTGGATTATGGGGAATCTGGTTCTATGAAGGTAAATACTTAACATGGTCACCATCAGCTCCAGACACTGTTCTCAGCAGGCAGAAGAAGCCCCAGAGGATCAGAGTGAATCTGGACTGGAACAGAGGAAAGCTGTCGTTCTCTGATCCTGATACTAACACACACATACACACCTTCACACACACTTTCACTGAGAGGCTGTTTCTATTCATTCACACTGGGGGTGAAGTGAAGCTGTCAGCAGTGAAGGTCTGTGTGACAGTGGAACAGAGCAGTTAGAGATAAAGAGGATGATTATATTCATGATGTTGTTGATTCCTTAAAGGGAAAAGTCTCTGAATTTAACTTGTTAAGCTGCACCTGTCCTCCTGCTGTCTCATTATTCCAAAAAATCCTTTTATTTTCTTTCACTTCTTGTTGTTTTTATTGTTTGTGTTTTACTGTTATTTAGTTTGACAGTCTGCTTTTGTTTCTATTGTTCACCCTAAATGTGTAAAATTATTTCTCTTTGAGACACACCAGATCTTTATGTTTGGTTGGTTTGTTTTTTTACAAGGATCAATTTATTATTATTATTTTTCAGAGTATAGCATGACCTACTGAACAACAAAGCTGGAAGTTTGGGGGAATACTTTATAAATCTTCTGGGATTTTACAACCAATTGTCTCTCCCATATTGACCCCCTGGCATCAGTTTTCAACGCACTGAGAAGCCCTTTAGAATCGTTGAACGCTAAAAAAACCCACAAAAATAACTAACTAAAAGTCAAAATAAGAAGGTAGAAGTGTGCGTCAGACACCCAACCTCCACCCAGGAGACTGTTGTTTGTGTCTCGTGTGACAGAAATAGTCAATATGGATTCTTTTGTAGTTAAAAAATAACCTTAGGTAACTTAGGAACCTAACATAGACAACTAGCCTCTTCACCTGCCTCAGCAAGTCGTCCCTGGACTTTCTAGAAATGGTCAGAAACTCTGCTGTAAATCCGTTGACCAGGTCTAACCGGACGAAAACACATAACACCAATCCTGTCTTTGTTACGTTGGCTACCTGTCAGGTTCAGGGCCTAGTATCAGATGCTTTACTTTACATATAGAGCCTTGGTCAGGCATCTATATACATCTGACCTGTTTCACCCATTTACCACCGCTAGGCCACTTTGGTCTTCATACCAGCTGGTTGTTCTGCGTGCGTGTTTGAAAACTAAAGTGATGGCCCCAACCCTGTAGAACACCCTTAGACCCACACTCTGGTCTCTGTTAATGCCTTTTAAAAACATCTTTGAGAAGGCCGTTGTCTGGCAATGTGCTATTTGATGTGTGCAAATGTGTGTCTTTTAAGGTCCATTAATGCATTTGTTTTATTGACTGACTATTTTATGGTTTTTATGCTGTTTGTTGCTTTCATTTAATTTATGCATGTTTCTGTATTATTGCTGTCTATTATGCATAGTTACATTATTTTACTTCTTTGAAGTTCTTTGTGAGTTTGCTCTGTAAAAGGTGCTAAATTAAGGAAATTGTACTTACTAATTTTAACACAAACTATGATGTTTTCTTAAACCTAGCCAAATTGCGACATTTCAGAATGTGTTGGGGTTTTATTCATCTCACAGCTGAGGCAGTTGTAGATGATCGATTTGATGTCCCGACACTGGTACACTTAGTGGGAATTATTTAACTAAATACATAAGGTAATATACATAAATAGGCTTATTATTAGATGGAGCAAGTGCAGTTAAATTTATTACAAATGTGGAGTAGTATAAAGTCTTACAGGCAAGCAGGTCCAGGTCCAGGAGCAGAGTCTAGGTAAGGTTCAGGTTCTGGAAAAGTTCAAAGCTCATTGCAACTGTGATGGTCTGGCAGGGAATGAATTAATCTGGTCTGATGCATAACATTAAGGCTGATGAGAGAATGAGATGCAGGTGAGGAGGTGGGCGGGGATGACTGGGCAACTGCAGAGCAGATGTGGGAAGTGGGTGTGTAGATGGCAGGGGCAATCAGGTGATGGGAAGTAGGTCAAGTCCAAGGGCATGTAGTGGATGGATGAAAAATGGTAATGAAGGAGCTTGGGGAAGAGGGGATGTGGCTGCACAGGACTGGCTGTGACAACATTTCATTTAAGGTTTCTTAGTTACTACTGACATTACAATTTACCCATGGGTACACATACAAACCCATGAGTGCACCAAGTGTAACAGAATTCCATTTACTGCAGAACAATTTTACCCATCTTCCCATCTTAACAGGCCCTCAGTGCTGACATGATGCAAACCTGTTTTCACTCTCAGTGATTTAGCAGCGGATCTACACCAACATCACAGACAGAACAACAACAGAAAAAACAGAGCCCCTGTAACTTTGGATAATGGTGATGAATTGACCCATTTAGAACAATTCTGCCGCCAAGCGTAAAGTCAGTAAAAGAAAATAACGTGAACACTAGCAGAATGATCCATTTGGCCAAAACAGAGGAAAGAATAGTTTCTCATGAAAAATCCAAATGACACATTAAATTGCCATGAAATGAAAATGGTGTTGGAAGGCATCTACAGAGACAGTCTGTCCAGTCCCGTTACTGGCCAGGTGGTTGAACATATTGCATATCACCAGAGGAGACGCGTATATATCCCTAAAGGGGTATTTCAGCAAAATACCACAAGGCAGGTTTATTATGCACATCTGGTTGATTTATACTGCACACAATCTCCCAGATGCCCCAAAACTGTTAATGGACTTGCAGAACTTCATTTAGTACCAGGGCTGTTGAAAGTTAACAAGTATGAAATGTACACTTAAACAGTGTCATACTGAATATGGTTTTATTTTGCAGGAAAAACAGCAGAGCAATAAAAACATTTCCAGCTGTGAGCCTGACTCTGAGTTTAGTGCAGCAAAAGTGAATACTTAATTAAAAAGAACACAGAATTTGACAGAATACAGCAAAACGTAAATAAAATATGTATGCCTGTGATTTTGTTGTTGTTCTGTTAGTGAAAACAACTTTGAGTTAGAATAAGGCAATCCATCCATCCATCCATCGTCAACCGCTTATCCTGCGTATAGGGGGGCTGGAGCCAATCCCAGCCACACATAGACAAACAACCACTCACACTAAGGACAATTTAGGGTCACCAATCAACCTAGGCCGCATGTATTTGGACGGTGGGAGAAAGCCGGAACACCTGGAGAGAACCCACGCAGAAACAGGGAGAACATGCAAACTCCAGAATAAGGCTGAATTTGTTTGAAATATTTCAATTGTAATAAAGAGGTTTTGTTTCTGATTAATTCAAATTTTTTGTATTTGTTCATAAAAATAATCCATAATCATTATTGAAAGCAGGTATGGGCTTGTGCTGGTTTTACTTTCAAGTCTTGCACAGTTATGTCTCTTTTTTATGCAAAATAGATGTGAATACAATGTGAAGACTGGAGAAGGCAATCATCCAATTGAGGGATATTCAAACTATGACACTGTGACCCCCAAACAACTCCAAGGGGAAACGCGGGGCAAAAATCTGTGTATGAATGAATAGAGGAGAGTGTCGGAGTTCCAGGATTATTAGAACCATGATGATGGGACACTCTGAGACTTATTCTTAAGTGAAGAATACAATACAGATCATGCAACATGAAAAAAAGTTACTTTTAATGGATTCAGTTGAGCATAGCGTTCAGACAGGCAACAAAGTCAAGTCAGCCCACATCAGCTGACAGCTCAGTTGATTTCCCTCTTTCATTCATTGTCAAAAGCCATACAAGGCACCTTATTTAAGCTTTACCCTTGCTGCTTTCTCTGCGAGCCACCTATAACCTGCTGCCACCCCAGCTCCTCCTTTTAGGGTATTCCTGATCAATCAGTGTATTTCTGTTGGTGATTGATGCTGCTCTTCTTTGCTACTGCTTTCTCCGCCTCGGGTTTTCCAGGTTTGGACATGGATGGGCAGGGAGGTGCTCTCCACATAGGCGCACAGAGGGGCAGGGGAGTCCCAGAACAGAGCCATACTGCCAAACGTAACTCCTGCAGATCATATAAAGTTCTTTTCTAAATGTTGTCCTGACTGAATTATTACTCTTTGTCTTACTTTGATTTGTCTTACTTTGATTTGGGTGTAATCATACTCTTGAAACTTTTGAAACTACATTTTCCATTACTTTGGGTCTTTGGGGAATATAAACATGTAAACCAATTAGTTCCATGGAGTTAGTTAGCTGTGGGCTTTAGCCTTAAGCATGTTTTTGTAGCCTACATTTGTTTACATTGGTATTCCTACAATGTTTTGTGGTATGGACGATTATCCTCCTCCCACTGTCTCTTCACAGGGATGCCCCAAGGCTCGGTGCTAGGGCCCCTTCTCTTCTCAATTTACACCACCTCACTGGGGCAGATCATTCGCTTACATAGTTTTTCTTACCAATGCTATGCAGACGATACGCAACTCTACCTCCCCTTCCCGCCAGATGACCTCACCGTCTCGGCACGGATCACGGACTGTCTCTCGGACAACTAAACTAAACTAAACCTCTCTAAGACTGAAATATTGGTAATTCCAGCCAAGAAATCTATCCACCATAACATCAAACTATAAACTGGGTGTCATGATTGATACCCAGCTGTCCTTTTCAGACCATGTTACTGCTGTCTCTCGGTCGTGCCGCTTTGCTCTATACAACATAAGAAAAATCAGGCCCTATCTCACTCAGTATGCCACCCAGCTTCTGGTACAGGCCATGGTTACCTCTCTCTCGTCTCGACTGTTGCAATGCCCTCCTAGCGGGTCTTCCAGCTTGTGCTGTGAAACCCCTACAAATGGTTCAGAACGCAGCATCACGTCTGGTTTTTGATCAGCCCAAAAGGACTCATGTCCCTCCATTACTCAGTGACCTCCCCTGGCTCCCCGTGGCCTCCAGAATCAGATCCAAGTCACTAATGCTGCATACAGAGTGACTACTGAGGCGTCCCTCTCTAACTTCAAGAAGCTCCTGAAAACTCATCTCTTCAGAGAACACTTTCTCTTATAACACCTCTAACCCCTAACCTGCACTACATGTACTCTTCTTCTATTGATTGCACTTTTTGTTAACCCTTACTTCTTTCCCTAGGGATTTACCCTATTGATGGGATACGTGCTATTAGCTCTTACTAGTATTTATTAGTGCTCTTACTAGTATGTATTGTCAGTTGTAGTTCTCGTGTGTATTTGATGCACTGTTGATGCTTGTATGTTGTTCCTCAAATGTAAGTCGCTTTTGATAAAAGCGTCTGCCATACGAATATTACAGGCCTAACTGGAAGACAGTTGATTTAAAAAGTAGGCTATAACTGCATGAAGATAAGTGTTAGAGAGATGAATAAATCTACTAAATGAAAAACACATCTTAGACAATGAAGTTTTCACTTTTATTGACATTTCATTGTTAACAGAACATGTGTTATTGGTATATAATTGGCGTGGGACAGTAAAAACAAACCAAACATAGAAAAAAAAGCATCTTTGTTCCAGTGATGTTAGCATTTTAAATAATTAAACTTTGTCTCATTAGAAATAAAACTGGAATCACGTAATAATCTTCTCAAGTCATAAACGTAAACATGCCTATCCAATATAAGCATTGTCATAAAAATGGTATATTGTGTGCAAAGGATGATAACTTTAATCTTAAATAAGAGAAAGAAATAAAAATACAAAACTTTCCAAAAGGTTTTGTTTGTCTTTCTATTTACATGAGCTGATATCTGATATCCGACCGGAAGAGACTACATGATGACTATAAAAAAATCCAACAAACAAAATGGTGCCTCATTTTGCATGTAAAGAAGTGAGCCAAGGTCTGATTTTTTTAATTTTGATTTTATAATCAACCCATTTAGTCAAAAAACCCAAAACCAAACAAAAACCATAATGTATTTACAGAAAACTTTTCCTTTTCTTTATAAGAAAAAAAACTGAATTGAATCTCTCTTAAAGCTATATCTGATAAAATCTCTCTAGAAGTAGTAGTAGTACTAGTTGTGATATTTTCCAAAGAACTTCAATATATCGTGTTACTTCAAAAAGCCTGCCCAGACTACATTTTGATATGTTTTTATTCACCCATACGCATATATATATATATATTTTTTTTTTTAAGAAGAGAATGTTAGAAACTAAAGGCAACAACAGGCAAGTTAAAGGAAGACTTAGTCACGTGAAGCCACACTCCAAACTTACAGCAACATTTGCCAGAGATGGGATTCTGATGTTTAAGCTGGAATTTGTATTGATACACTAAACGTTGTGAGGTGTGATTTTAGTTATAGACTCAGTGGGTGGACTCTGAGAACCAGTTATATGAGAGCGACCGGTAAATGTGAAACAGTCCCAATGTAAACAAACCTGGGGACAGTTTTAAAGACGTTACTTTTAATTTATAATTTTTCATGCCATTCATGTTCTTGGACTCAAGGCAAGAATAAACGTAAACACAAGGCAGCAGTAACCTAAAAATGTTAGTTTAACTATATTCCCTGGTTCCACAATATCTCAATGGATAGGTTCATGTTTTTTGAAGTGTGTCCGGTGCCCGTACGGATTTTAAAATAAGTTCTGCTTGCTGTAATCGTTCCTGCTTCTTACAAAGGCAGTCCTTTTCAATGGCAGTAATGGGGGACAAAATCCACAGTCTTCCAGTCGGTGAAAAAAACAAAGTCTGTGTCTGAGTAAATTAAAAGATTTGGCCACTGATTCTTTCAAGTTCCCATCATGTACAATATATACAGTATATAGCTTGATCATATTTTTCACAGAGACCCAGAAGCCAACCAGTTTTCTTTTACCTGGCCCCAGGTTTTCTGTGATTTGATGAAACACAATTTTATTTAGGGAAATGCACCATGTGAGGAGAATGTGCACTAAAATAATAAAGGAGTTACATCTTATATTTGATGTAGAGCTCCACTACAAAATGTTTGGCCTCAAGGCTGCATAATAATACAGGACCCAGTTGATGTTGTACTAATCAAATTACAGCAAATGACACACAGTGAACCTTGGGGCAGTAACACAAAGACCAGCGACTGCAACTTTGGAAGATACTCACTTGTTTTGTTTAGCTCACTTTTGAATACATTTTTGCACACAAAACAGGATTATTTTGTGTTTTTTGTCGGCCATCACTGACATTGGAAGCACATTGTAATGGATCTCTCCCACTATGAACAGGAGGAATGATTACAGAAAGTTAAACCCATTTCAATGTACATATGGACATGTGAGTGTTTAAACCTAATCTTTTAACTATTTAGTTTTGTTTGTGGAAAGAGCGATGTAGTTTGGTACTAATTAAAGTACAAATAGGGACAGGTGTTCTACACATATACACGGATCAGGAAAAAATCTGATTCAGTAGCAGCTTTCTTGAAATATATAAATATTTATTTATTATTGTAATTGTCCAAATATGTTGAATTATATGCTTGCAAAAAAGAAGGTTGTGCTACCAATTAATAGTTTTTAGGTTTTTTTTTACAGTTACATACCAGTTAAAATAAAGCTTTTCCAAGATCTGTTCTATGTCCACAGCAACTCTGCCTTCCACACGTTTGTATAACAAATACACAACAAATCTGCATTGTTATGTTGCTTATCAGTGATTGAAGTGATTGGAAGTTTTCTAAATTTACTGTAATGCAGATGTACCATGGTTGGCAAGTGTCACCCTTGTTTGGGAGTGGGCGATATCAGATAACTAAGTCTACCTTTAAAGGCAACTCACTGTTGTCCACAGCCACCAGAACATCAGAAGACCTGGGACAAAATGACCCCGAGGTGAAGACACCACCAGGCTCTTAGAGACAGTTTTTCCTCTGAACTTATCTGCCTGCCACGGTGGCTACCAAGTGTCATCCTTCCTCATTTGAATTGAGAGTAATGCTTACGTGATGGATGCACAGTACGTGGTGTGACATGGCCAGAGAGGAGGAAAGTGACCCTAAGAAAGACAAGGACTGAGTAGTGGCAGGTGTGGACTCCAAGGCAGACAAATCCAACAACACCAGTGTAGATGAAGTACAATCAGTGCCAGTTTGTCCCAGGTCTGCACACAATAACCATAAAAAGAGGCAAATTTTCAGAGGACCCTTTGCCCTCTGTGACAAGTGTAGAACATAGTTTGAATAAATAAGTTTCCAACAGAAGAGAAGGAGGACAGACAGTGTCCACCACATAGATAAAAAATCTCATGTACATATATTTTGTCTTTATGTGTGTTCCATAAGTAATATGAACAAACAACAATAAATCACTACAGTATGTTTTCAAGTACCCTTCTTCCATTTCCAAAAACAGACATCTGCTGAAATACACTGTACTATTGTAAACTGCTATTCTGTAAATCTCAGTAAATATATACACATACTCAGACTTTTCTCCCAGAGGGTGGTGTCTCTGTCTACGAGTGAAATGTATCAGAGTAAAGATTTTTTCTCCACAGGCAAAACATGATGGAAAAGAATGTTTTACCTGCCCACCACCCACCCTATTAAAATTCAACAAATTACCCTCTTTCATTAAGTACTGCAGGCCACTGCTCATCACGCTAAGTTGAACTCACTGCTTAACTGGTAAAATCTCCACAACGTGTCCTTTACATATAATCACTGTTACTGCGTGAGGATGATGTGAGAACAGGAGTCATTCGTCGTCAAAGCAACATCGGGGGGCGGCAGGAGGGTTAGGGTTCAAGCAACCAACCACAAAGTTGCCGGCTTTAACGTCCTGGAAATCGCTGTAGAAATCAGCACGATGAACTGCACGAGAGGTGCTCTTCTCGCCCTGCTGATGTGCCGTGGAGCAAGGCACTTAATCCCCGATTGCATCAGTGCAGCGACTCAGTGGCTTGCAACGTATAAAGAGATGAATGGCGGTTTAATCTGCCTGCACATCTGCTACTGTAAACCCTACAGTAAGTACCTGATAGCAACGCTGAAGTAAGTAATCCTGTATGCAAGTTATTTTCAGACAACAACTACACTTCTGACATTTACATTAAGAATGAGCACCAATAAACAACAATGAGTGCGTGGAATGAACTGGGAGATTTGTGTTGAAGTGGGATAGAGACCCCTTGTTAGCTTGATAAAATGTTCCAACCCCCTCAGGGAGAACACACCAAGAGAACAACTCACCTTCCCATCATCTCTCATGTTAAATCACAGAGTAACGAAACACTGAGCTAATGACAAACCTGCAACGCTTCACAACTCTACAAAGAGCACTAGCATCAAGCAGAGCACATCTGATGACCACCTCAGCCAAGTACACGGATCACGTATCTACCCCCTTTTAGCCTGTCTTGTCTAAGAAGTGCACAAAAGCAGAAAACCTGAAGTGGTTTAGTAAAAGGTTCAGCCGAGAAATAAATTAACTGATAAAGTTGTTAGCTTGACCTGTAGAGTGTTTTCCCCCCCAGAATATTCAGGAAGACAATCAAAGAATTTAAACATTAAACACAGTGGTATCGCGATAAACAGTCCCAAAATGGAGCCTTTCTAAACTACTCATGGCTACAGAACTCATAATCCTAATGACTCCACATGAATGCTAGTTTTGCTGCACGTAAACGTACAAGCTAATTTCCATTTCTTGTCGATTTACACAATCTCATCGTCTAATAATCTGGTGATATCATGAGCCACATCTTCAGTGTTTTGTAACTCTGATCAATTGTTCATCACCATTGAAGGGTTTCATTCCAAAGTGACCGACATCCTTTGTGAAAGCAGCAGTTCATCAATTATTAATTAATAATACAAAAAATTACTTTGGTGCAACTTACACAGTAATATATTCAGCGTCAATTATGAAATTCAATCAAATTATTAGAATTTTTTTCCACCATATTCCCATTTTGTAAACATGCTGTATACATATTAAGTATGTGACTATCTAAAATTAGTCTATCTAAATTTTAAATGATTTTTTCAAGTAAATATGCAAACCTCTCAAATGTGGTTATTTGCTGCCACTTTTTTGTCTGATCTGATCATAAACTGATTATCTTTGGAGTTTTGGACTGTTTGAAGATGTCACTTTGGACCCACCAATCACTATTCTGTGATATTTCATATAAAACTGATTAATATAGAAAATAATTAGACGATTAATTCATGTATGTGTTTCATCCAAATGATCGATCTCTTCTTTTGGAATGCAACTTTTTTTTTTTTCCATCAATCAAGTTCATCTGTCCAGATCATCACACTCAAGTTGAGAAAACATAAAGCGAAAGACAAGCTTGGTCCAATAGGCAATTTTCTTTGGATAGACATTCATGTTTCCACAAACTCCCAGCAGACAGATTCTGTATGCTGTATATAGGCTTAAAGGTAAAAGGAGCAGAATGTCTTGTTCTGTGTTTATTGTAAACCCTCAAGGAACAAATATGCGTTTTTTTCCCCACCGAGTCAAATAGCGCTGTGGGATATTGAACGACATCGATTTGTGCTGAATGCTGCATGTGCTGAATTGCTCTTGACAGCAGCAAGGAATTGCGATGAGAACACATTCAATTACTGCAGGACTGAGAGCTCGGTGAATAAGGTACAAAGCTGAGCGAATGAAAACAAGAACAAGGGAGACAGAGGGAGAGATGTACAGAGTATAAAGTAGCCTTGAAAGTCATGTGGAGAGACACGCTGCACCCTACTGCATTATTTGTTTGCATTTGTGTGTGGATAATATTGAGAAAAACTCTTTACAAGTTTTCAGGAACATGATAAAAACAAGGAGGTTGTTTTAAAATACATTTCTAAATCTCTTCTCAACTAAAAGAGAGGCATTTAAATCTTTAACTGAAAATCAGCAGAGTTATACAGACAGTGAGATAAACAGTGACTCAGTTAAGATGTCCCAACTCACCCTACAACAGTGATTTCTAGCCTGCGGTAGGAGGTCATGGGTGGGGGACTCCAAACCGCCTCTGGAGAGCTGACTGGCCTCTGAATGAACCATTATGAGTCATATTGGAGTTAATGACATTTAAATGAGCAGCTTGTGAATTCAAATAAAGCATGCTAAGTTAGAACTCCAGTGCTGCTGTTTGAGAAGGAATACTGAAGATTTGAGTGTCGCACAAGATGTCTCAAATCTAACTGTCCGTATGTGCATCCCCCCCTTCTGCATGGTCAATTGCATAAATCGTGTTACATGTTAACATCGTAAAATGACAGCTATTTATAATATTCAAGCTTCACAGAAAATACAAATGGGCCAGAAGCCTTGAGAAAGGAAAAATTAAAACAATTTAGGAGTGTTCGATCTATTCTATCAAATCTTAATGTCTTTCTGAGATTGGAACTGTGACCATGTCCTAATCACAGCCCCCTTTTGCAAGTTGATAAATCCTTAAATTGGTGCAAATAACTTAACATTATGCCATAGAAATCTATACAACATATAAATAAGTAAAGTAACACAAGGTGTTTACAGCCTAGACATTTTACTAGACAAACTAGGGTTGGAACTTCTAGCACAGTGCTCAACTGGTTTAAATCCTGTTTGAAGGACAGGGACTTCTTTAGGTTGATTAGTAATTTCATATCTGAGTGTACAAAAATTACGTGGGGTTCCCCAAAGCTCCATTCTGGGGCCTCTGTTCAACATCTACATGCTCCCACTAGTACAGATTACTGGAAAAAAAACAATATCTTACCATAATTATGGAGACAGCACAGATTTATGTAATGAAATCACCGACTATGTCCCATACAAGCACTGATTAAGTGCACTGAACAAATCATCGATTGGATGTGCCAAACTTCTCCAGATAAGCAAACTGTTTTCTGAGCCAAGATCAGCCCACTGTCAGATTCTTAATAATAAAGCAAGAGTTAGAATACTTTATGGCTCAGTGGGATTTAGAAAAGCGTGCCCCAAGCTTCAGTAGTCTACAGGTCTCTCTAAAAAGATCAGACATCTGCAGCAGATTCACTCACTAAGACCAGGAGAGACCACATCACCCCAGTTCAGAATTGACTTTAAAATACTGCAGTTGGTTTATAAAGCACTGAATGGTTTAGGGCCAAAATACAATTTTGATCTACTGCTATGTTCTGAACCGTCCAGACCTGTCAGATGTTTTGGATCGGGTCTGTTTTCTGTCCCCAGAGTCCAAACTAAACATGGAGGAGCAGCTTTCAGTTTTTATGCTCCACATATCTGAAATGAACTGCCTTAAAACTTGACTTCTCTTATTCGCCAACTCTTCTTTAAAACCAGGGATGTTTTTATTAAATTAAACTACATATTAACAGCAAAGCACTGTAATTTTTATTCTCTCATTATATTTTTTATTGTCTGTTAGCTTATTTTTATCTTCTGTTTAATTTTACTTTTTTATCTTATGCAAAGCACTTTGAATTGTCTGGTTGAACGGTGCCAGACTAATAAAATCGCCTTGCCTGTGTCGACAAACCCCTCTTTTGAGTAAAAGTCGACCATTTAGAGCCAAAGACAATAAGAAATGTTGGCACGTTTGACAACACTGGAGGCAAATTACAAGCCCCTTAGTTTTAACAATAAATATTAAGCCATCATGAAAGCAGCCTGACTGAACGGACTGAATGTGAACAAGCAACCTGGGGTGTTAAGCGGACTGGATACAGATATATGTGTATTGGTAAAATGACGTAAAGACAGGCAAGGTAAGTAGCGAGTGAGAGCAGCACAGATGGCCAGAGGAGAGGGGGAAAGATTAAATAGATGGAGAGAGCAAATGGACTGAGAGAGGAGAGGCCAGATGGACGGGAAGAATTACAAGAGGACAGTGAGAAAAGACAGAGGGAGGACAGCAGGATTAAAGCGAGGGGATGTGGTGGGCGAGTAGCCCCTATTAGAGCTTTGTGAACAGAAGTACTTCTTTAAGCTCTGTCGATGTTGCCGAGCCACAGCCAGCATACTAATACAGACCCACATATATCCTGTGTGCATCCCTCCTTCCTCCTCTGTCTATTCAAACCCTGCTTTATTCGACCTCCCAGTCAATTTACTTTCTCTCCCTATTTCCTCCCTTTTCGGACTTCTCTAATTCTTTCACATCTTCAGGAGCCTCCACACTACAGCGTAGAAAGAGAAAAATACAAAGATGAGGATAAAGACGGACTCAAGGAACAAACTAAGCTAACTAGTTAAGCTCAGGGCCCATAGTTATCAAAATGTTAAGAATTACACTTAAGAATTGCTCTTTCCGGAGCGTGAGACACATTTATGAAGCAACTTATTCCTACTTAATGGCAAAGTGAAAGAGTAACATTTAAAAACAGCAAGAATAGAATGACTCTGCTGTTCATATCTCAAGTAGCAATTAACATAAAATTCAGTTTGATATATTTATAATATATAAATACGGATTAATTAATAGTAAATTGGCTTAAAATGAAATTACTTTTTGCACCACTGCCATATGCTAGAAAAGAAAAGTAGAAAAACATCCGATTAAATGTTCAAACAAAATGCAAACAGTGGGCTGAAACGCACTTCAGTGAACGTATTAATCATCATCTAGGAGTCACTCGTAAACACCTCTGCAGAGCCCTTAAATTTGAGAGCAAGTTGAAGTTGTAATAATTTTGATAAGCAGCTTTTTTTCATACTTTCATCTTTCACTTCCACAAGTCCACAATTTCACTCTTAGCAGTTTGATAAATATGGGCCCTGGTTGTGTGCAACTTGTAAAATATGAACAAAAGTTTTAGGCCTGTTAAGACAAAGATAAGGCTGTTGAACTTGTCATTTATCTATTCTGTCATTATATGCTGACGACTTGCTATTCTACATCTCCCAAAACCCATCAGTTCAAGATAAAGAATTTCTTTTGTTTTATCAGCTGATGGAGTTTTAAGTTGAAAAAGGTCTGAGCTAATGGTGGTGAAGATGCATTTTAATGTGTTTGGTGAAAAAAGAGAGAAAAAGGTCCTCTTTAACAGTTTTACATCTCCATACAACTGAAAATAAATTAAACAAAATTCAGTGATCCACAGAGAGATCCTTGGTTTTCTTTTTATTATGGCCTTTCTACCTAAATTTTATCTTCAAGTTTAATATTTTTAAACCTTTTTTTTTTTCATTAAATTTCATCAGACTTAATAGTCGAAGTAGTTCACGCTGTTGTTATAACAAACTTGGAGGTGGTGTCTGGCTTTAAGGAGCATTTTTCATTCTGCCCCAAATCCTTTATTTTTTTATTTTCACTGAGAAGAAGAATCGTGATGTAGGTCCCAGAAGAAATATTCAAAGTTCAGTGTCGCTCATAAGACACTTTTTCATATAGCCAGAGAAGTTGTGTGCAAATAAAAAAATCTGCTGTTTATCAGTATCCAGCCAATCAGATCCTCCTGGAGTCTTTGCAGACCTGTTCTCGCTGTCCTTAGCCATGTTTGTTTAAAGTGTCCTTGCCCGGTGAGGAACGGGAAAAGACAAAATAAGTGTCCTTCCTGTTTTACACTGAAGCGCTTGTGTCACAAGACAGGCACAAATCTCTCTCTCTCTCTCACACACACACACACACACACACACTCACTCTGAGACAACGTCTAAATCTACTCCCGCAGAGCATTTCAGGGTGCGCCGATTTACATCTCTAGCTAGCGCAATTAGCATCATTCGGCATTAACTTTCCATTGTTTTTAGCTAGCGTCATTGGCCATTAGCCAACATAAGCCAGCTAACAATATGACGACTGCTTGACCCCCATCAATCCGTCAACTTTGACCTCTTCAAAGGAAAGTTGCCTGTCATACCCACTCCTGAACAGGGTATTTGTAGAAGTGCTGCCCAACGGTGTTCTGCTGCACTCCTTTGTTTTTAAACTGAAAGATTGTGTACACCAGCACCAGGATGCACAGCGACAGAATGCAGGGGATCACCACAGCGATGGCGTTGACAGTCGTGGGCACATCGTTGATGGTCACCATGATGTCCACATCGTCAAGGGGCAGCTGGCGGTCTCCGCGGTTACCCTTGCTGCCGGAGCGCTCCATGTCAGACTGCTCGCAGCCCATCCAGTCACGCAAGATGGACTTGGGGTATCCGGGTTCCACCGTCAGCTTCTGGTTGTCGAACTTCCAGTACTCCTTCCCCTTGTAGAAGTATGTGTAGTCTGAAGACGGGAGGATGAGAGGGTGAAAATTAATACATTGTGAAAAATATTTGTTGAACGTTCAACATTTTCGATGCACTAGATAAAAAATTTGAAACATGCAAAACAACGTAATTTATATCAACAACATCAGCAGCGCTCATCGTCCTCAGTTAAATATCGGTGCATTTGCTCATATGCAGTCAAATGGAGTTGTGGATGGGACAAAGGACTGGGAGACGCCGGAGACAGAGGGTCCACCGGTCAAGGACCACATATGAGCAAAGGGAACACTTTGTTTATCCCTTCAGGCTGTAACAGACATCTGTAATCTGATATCAGATGATTTGGAGACGAAGAACAGCGGTCCCTATGCACTCCCTGCTGCCGTCCAATCACTGCTTTGTGCTGAATTTCATTGTAAGTGGATCATTCCAGCATCCCTGTAGTTCTACTGGAGGTTGGTCACAATCTACAGTAAGTTTGGCCATACATGCAGGAACATCACTGATTGGTTTCATTCATGTTGCGCCCAAAACACACTTTGATTAAAGGGATAATTTGGGATTTTTTAAGTGGGGGCTGTATGAGCAGAAATAATTCTACATTTTCTCAACCTTAGAGCTTTGGTATTTCTATGCATAACCGCAACACTTGAACTGATAATGTTTTTTTTCAGTGGGCCTTCTTTTCATAAATGTGATATGCTGTTGACCATGTCCACAGCAGTACATTGCTTAGGCAACTCTATGCTTCTCCAAAATGGGGACACAGTGACCACCATCTATTGCAGGTAATACTCTGGCTATAGATAAGTACCTCATATAGTCACACAAAAATCCTGAACTGTCCCTTTAAGTACCCAGATTATGCGCAATATAAATTGCAAAAGTGGAGCTGGACACGCCTGCTAGCATGGCTAACAACACAGTACAAATGGAGTATAAACATACTGAACAGACTTCAAGCCACCCAGGACTCCAAAATCCTTCTACACCACCTAAACAACCAACTTACAAATTCAGCTGTGCAACCCCTCTGTGCAGGAACCTCTAAATTACCAGTTCAGTGTTAAAAAAGTCACTTGTGGTTATAAAGGTGAAGTGGCACTGCACGGGTGCTTATGTCTCAAGAATGGAGGTTAAGTACCACATGACTACCACCAGGAAACTCCGCTGTGTTTCCTCAATTTCTCAAAACCTCACTCTCAAGAGTGACAAACACCGTCCTTCACTCTGTAAGAAAAGCTTTCTCTTAAACTGAAAACATCCATCAGTGTCCTCAGCTCCCTCTCTCTCAGCCCTGTTATATCCCTGTGGTGCAGAATCTCATTAGAGACAATAACATTTCTATCGTGACACGGTGGTTATAGGCAGCTACAGTATTTCAGTCCCAGCAGTGGTTGTTTTTATATTATGTAATGCCTGTGAGACTGTAGCTGGGAGACAAATGGGAGGGTATGTGGGAGCGAGATAAACCCTCGCCAACAACAACACAGTCTCACACATACAGGCAGATGAGAAGAAAAGCTAAAATGTGTGCACATACGTGTTAGCTAATATTGGTGCTTTCTGCACATCAACATCTCTACAGCGGTGAGGTTATTCAAACAACGTTTCATCTACAGCAAAGATGCCGGAGACCTAGAACACGGATACTTGGCCCTACATCACTGTACGACCGAGGCAACTTCTGCAATAATTTGTTGTTTGCTAAATGATGAAATCGCACTCTAAAGATGCATGGTAGATTTATTCTGGTTCGAACACTCTTAGCTAAAGGTAGTGAGCTGCTACCATGGGCAAAGATACTGAAGAGGAGCAGACAGACAGCAAGTAGAGATGTTCTGAGCTGATCCCGAGGACGGTGCTGATTCTTTCTTTACTTTTTGTCCACCTCAGTGTGCTTGTGTTGGAGCACTGCTCACCATTACGACAGCCGGGCTCTACAGTCCAGCAGCATTTTGATGACAGAACAAAATGTTTGTGTGTCTGAACTCGACCAAAGATCACTTGTGATGGAGGACGCTCCAATCTGTAACACCACACTGTACAATCAACAATCCTGACAACTGGAGTGAGTGAGACATCTTCTCAACAATCAACCGATCTCACGTCAGTTTCAGTCGAAGCATTCTCATATCATATCAATAATTTAATGTTATTAACTTAATACTTTTGGGGGGGTACAGCTCAAGTGTTTGCATTATGGTGCTGAGTATCGGAACCAAGCCAAAAAAAGTAAATAAGTGTTCTTAATGGCTAAGAAAACTCCACTACACAAACGACATGACATTTTTAATTATACAGTTATGGATTCCAGCTTAAAAATGGCCTGCCTTCAGGATTCTAATAACATTTCATGGGTTTCAGAGGAGAGTTTTAGTGTCCAAGGTGTGGATTTAATTTTAGAGACTTCTTTAACAATAATGAGAATTCCCTTCAAGGGGAAAACATAGAAAATTGTTTTATATGTACAGTATCTCACAAAAGTGAGTACACATATTTGATTATATCTTTTCATGTGACGACACTGAAGAAATGACACTTGGCTACAGTGTAAAGTAGTGAGTGTACAGCTTGTATAACAGTGTAAATTTGCTGTCCCCTCAAAATAACACATCACACACATGTCTAAACTACTGGAAACAAAAGTGAGTACAGCCCTGTCCATGTCCAAATTGGGCCTAAAGTATTTGCCTCAACCCTCTTGGGCATGGAGTTCACCAGAGCTTCACAGGTTGCCACTGGAGTCCTCTTCCACTCCTCCATGACGACATCACGGACCTGGACAGGAGCTGGTTAGGAGTTTGAACATTACTGGATATGACGCTGAGCACGTGCACTCAACTTCTTTAATCGACCATGGCGAGGCCTGTTCTGAGTAGAACCTGTCCTTTTGAACTGCCGTATGGTCTTGGCCACCGTGCTGCAGCTCAGTTTCAGGGTCTTGGCATTCTTCTTATAGCCTCAGCCGTTCTTTTTTTCAGCTCCTCAGAGAGTTCTTTGCCATGAGGTGCCATGTTGAACTTCCAGTGACTTCCAGTATGAGGGAGTGTGAGAGCGCTACCAAATTTAACCTACCTGAGACCTTGTAACGCTAACAAATCACATGATACCGGGGAGGGAAAATGGCTAATTGGCCCCAATTTGGACATTTTCACTTAGGGGTGTACTCCCTTTTGTTGCCAGCGGTTTAGACATTAATGGCTGTGTGATGTGTTATTTTGAGGGGAAAGCAAATTTACACTGTTATACAAGCTGTACACTCACTACTTTACATTGTAGCAAAGTGTCATTTCTTCAGTGTCGTCACATGAAAAGATATAATCCGATATTTACCCAAATGTGCGGGACGTACTCTTTTGTGAGATACAGTATGTTTGTGGTATGAGATCAAGTCAAATGTACGACAGAATATCAGAATACACCCCCCCCCCACAAACACACACACTTTTTGTCTGCTCCATCACCTCCAACAAAGCAAAGCACACACACACACACACACACACTTGTCTGTTGCCTCCACCGTCCCTAAAGGGGATCTCATCTAACACCAAGACACCATGCCCAACAGACCATGTCACCGCCTCTGATCTCACACACACACACACCCTCTGAGGCAGCTACAAGGTCAAGAGGTCCCAATTCGACAAGTAGAAGTGATGATGGGCAGTTTCTTTCTCGCAGTCGGTGTATATGTGTGAGTCTGCTTGTGCCGTTTTATGCTTCTGTGGCAGAAACACTGCGCGTGAATAAACTGAAATATGGACAGAACGACTGTCCAACACGTCCTCACACCTAAAAGACAAAATAGGTTGATTGTGAAGTGTCCCAAAACAAGAGGCAACAAGACAGGCTTTCCGGGACCTTTAGTATATTATGTTAGTCACGTGACCTAAGTCATATGACGTTTAACACATGGAAAACATTGTAAAAAAGGTTGTAGTTTGCTTACGTGTTGGCACAGAAACTACCTGGTTAGGTTTAGGAAAAGATTATGGTTTGGGTTAAAATAGTACATAATGTAAGTCATCCACAAAACCTTACTTAACTTGAAACATGTCAACTTTGAGTTTCTTCCACGTGGAACTCAAACTTCTGTCTCCTGAGGAAAAGTCCACCAGACCAGACCACCACCTCCTCACATGGACTTCGTCACTCTTCATACTACATACTACGACGTCACCTGACTTCTTCTGCCACTAGAGATCGTGGCCTAACAAAAATGTAAATATGGGTCGTAATAAGCTCTATAATAATCAAATTCAGAGCCAAAGTTGTGAAAACACAAGACATACTGGGGATTTTAGTTGAGAGTTAGTGTCACTAGCACTGCAGTAGAGGTGGAAAATACAAATCACTCTTCTGACTCCAATAATTTAATTTAGTTCAAACATTCGTCACTTTCCAACGCACGTTAGTATACACAAGGGCACAAGAAGTTGAAAACCAACACGGAAATTGTTTAAGTTAATTCAAACACCTTGCACGTAGTTAAATTCTGATGTATGTGGTGGAATTGACTTTTTTATGGTCTTCGCTGAGCAATGATTTTTTATCTGTGGTGTTGAATAGAACACATTACTTTGGTGTCTTAATAATCACTGTGTGATAATCATGTTCACTGGTTTCCACCATTCTGAGTAAATGAAGAGAACAGCCTCATTTGCTGAGATTAATAGAGCATCACCAGATTATAATGAGGAAAAAGCACAGCCTTATATTACACTGCGAATTTGGTCAGCTAATTACAGTCTGAACATTTTTGTCACTAATAATTCAGTTCAGTCTTCTTACTAAATTCTCTGTTTGTTCAAAATGTTGGTTTGCTTCAGTAAAGTTTGTGTAAGTCAGAGTTGTAACATCACTTTTGTTTCTATGTCTGCCGCACTCTTATTTACACTTGTGGAACCAAAAGACGAGAGGATCTAAGGTGTCGACTCTGACCACCTTTTAAATGGATGTTCCTTTCTGCTGCCTTCTTTTGTTGTGTTTCTTGCATTTATTTAGTTTTTTATGTCTTTATGTTCATTCTTTATAACAGTTTTACCACAAATGAAGTCTGTAAGGCTTTTTGAAAAGGCCTAGTGTGTGAATTGTGCTGTATTACTGAGGTCCGGCCTGTGTTTGATAGACCAAAGTGACACTCACATCCCTCCCTGCTGATGAAAGCCCCCTGCGGTGCATCTGGTATGCCCTTCCACACAGTGATGGGTTTGGGGTATCCTGGGTCCGCCGTGTGCTTCTCCTCGTTGTAACGCCAGTACTGGTCTCCTTTGAAGAAGTAGGTTTTTCCAACCGGCTCCCAGCGCAGCGCCGTGTCGATGCCATCTTTGGGGAGGGAGCTGCCCAGCTCCACCAGGCTGTGAGGGTAACCCGGCTCAGCCGTGACTTCCTTAAACACCCAGTACTTATCACCTGGAAGATGTGGGAAAAGATGAGTCGGTACTTTAATTATGTTACGCATATTGTCAGTGATGGTTTCTCTAGTTCATTGTCTCAAGTTCTGATTTATTAAAGGCAAAAGTTTTAGAAAGAAAACTTTCTATACAGATATCTCTCCTGTCATTAAAGTCTGAGTTTAATTGATTTCTTTACCCTCCAACAAACCCAAAGAACTTCGAATCAAATATTTGTCTCATTTAGTTTAATATTTATGTATGATTTTTCAATGAGTGAAATCCCAGATCATCACCAAAATCTAATCAATTGTTCTTTGGTCTTGTGTTCACAGGATTCAGAGATATCCTGCTGCCAGACAAAGACTAAATCAAAACATAAACATAACCTTTATAAATAAATCTAGTTATGTTTTTTTATAAAAAAAAATACATACTTGATATAAATAATAAGTTAAACTCTTACAACACTCTAGCTGCTTTCCACTACACTGAGAGAACTATGAAAACAGCTCCTCTGATGCTCCGTTAAACATTCAGTTCTTATTTAGAAGATAGATGTGGGAAAATACAAAGACAGATTAAAACTGGCTGGTTAAAATCATAGAACTACTCTATAAAAGCTCCTTTACAGTAAAAGGCTTTAATAAATTTCCCTGACTTGACAGCAACTCCTTAAAATAGCCGGTTCTCATGGTCTGGAAAAAAACCCACATGGGAACAATGAATATAAACAAAGATTAGAGTCCTAATTTTATTTTATCTTCTCCAGGCATTTAATGCAGCCGGAGTCAGTGATAACTTTTCTAAATGAGTGGTACATATTACTGGGAAAATACTGATAGATAAGTGTGACCTATAGACTGTGCTTTCATCATGATATTGAGGAGCCATAAGTACGAAAAACTATTTTATATTGATCTTTTTACCAATGAGGTCTTATTTGTATAGTTCGACTAATTATTCCTTTTTTTACTGGAATTTATTATTTATTTTTGTTATCTTAATTAAAATGCATTTACTTAAAAGGGACACATGAGCTGCTGATTATGATTATGTCTCAAGAGTACCTCGTTTACAGCAACCAAGAGAGATCAGAGTCTTGTGAACAATTGTTGGGTATATGTGGGGGCTCTGGCTGAAAATTATGGTAAAAACAATCTCACCACAAGGCCCAGCAGCAGTTTTTCAGTTTTCTATCACACATTGTTCCTCAGCAGTTTGAAATTGTAGATGTTTTTCGGACCACTGTGAGGACTTCTTATTCATGCTGAAAACTTTTTGATCATTATGTTTTGTCAACTGGGTGAAAATTGTCTTAAGCTACCGTGGCTCATTAGATTCCAAAATAATTGTTAGATCCACATTCACAGCACAAATAGTGAATTCAAGCATCTCTTAAGAAGCCGTGGTAGAAGAAGTATGAGAAGCAAGATTCTGCTCGAGGTGGAGTCAGTTTGAACTACTTTAGTTTGGTGGTTCCCAACCAAGGGGTTGGGCCCCTCCAAAGGGTCACCAGATCAATCTGAGGGGAGGTGAGATGGTCAATGGGAGAGGAAAGAAGGAAAAAGAAATTTCTGGTACAAAAATTAGACTACAGGTGTGTAGTTGGTGGCCCCCACCACATGCCCGTGATTGCAAGGTTTTATCTTTAACAGTACTATTACATTTTATAAGCTTATCATGATTAAAAAAAAATCTAAATCTGAAAAAGTAACCAGTAACTCGTATACAGAGATGGAAATAAGCAGCTGCCACCCACCAAATGTGGATGTTTTTTCTGTTTGGCGGCTGGATGTTGGAAGACAATCTGACACATAGGCGGGAAAATGATATGGCATGATATCGCCATGTAATATTTATTTGACGCAGTAGACCTGCATTCTTGTTTGTTGTGTGTCTCACTTAAATTGGCCCCCAGTGTACCATGGGATCTAAAATCGTGTAACACACGTATTAGGGCGGTTCATTGTTTGCTGTTTATTTCATGTTACTTGTGTTTGATTGGCGTAGATTTGTAAGGGGTGGGTGTTAGTGGACAGGAGTCGGGAGGGGAAGAGGGGAGAGTGTAGCCGCTTTCATACGGAGATCAACGCGGAAAGAATAGGATTCGATTCATACAGAATAAAAGTTTGCAGCGTTATCCAGCAACCATGTGTGCTTTCACATAGCGGTCCAGCTTTAACGTAACTAGCGGCGTGTAAAAAGACCGGCATGTCCACTGCGGCGCTCACAGAGAGATTGTTCCTAAATTTCCACTCTCGCTCATATATGTGTCTGTTCCAAATAGAAGATTTCAAAATGAACTGAAAGTTTTCTTTATTCTTATGTCACCATGTGTGAGCTAATGGATTAGAGACTACCTGCAAACTAAAATCAGACACATTCATGAACAACAAACCTTCCTAATTCTATGTCTGTGTTCTGTCCACACAAGTCTCTGTCTTCGCACAAATGGTTGCAAGAAGCATCACTGAAATGTCTCTGTCGCTGTGCGCCCATGTATGTGTGTGTGTGACCTTGTTTAACTCACTTTGTGGGGTCCAAAACTGGGAACCCACTATACTTGCGGGGTCCAGCTGCTTTGTGGGGACCAAAATGACTTGGTTTTATGGTTAGGGTTACAATTAGGTAAAGGTTAGGGGTAGAGTAAAGGTTAAGGTTAGGCATGTGGTTGTGATGGTTATGGTTAGGGTAAGGGGCTAGGGAATGCATTATGTCAATGAGATGTCCCCACAAAGATAGGAACACATGGTATAAGTGTGTCTGTGTGCGCGAGAGAGTCGCTGTGGAGCAAAGCCATTAATATCTGCTCCTGGCTGGCCGCGATAGCAGGACACTCCGACTGAAGATGTTGGAGTGTGTATGTGTGTGAGTTAGAAAGAGGGAAAGAGTGAGAGAGAAAGGGAGGTGGAAATGAGCGACTTTCTCAGTCAGCAGGCTGGGGATGAGGGAGGTTTCATACGTAGATTGAAATTCTATTACTTTAGGCTGGGTGCTCCCCGCTGCCTTGCCATTCTCTATTTCACACTTTATTAAATATATTTCCAGGATGAGGTGAGCATGTAGAGAGCAGGGCAGAGTCTAATAACGCTGGAGCAGATGGTAGACAGAGATGAGAAGTTTCTCCACTCAAGATTTTGAGTAAAAAAATCGTCTGATTCTGGAGCAGCTTTGCTCAACTGAGGTGCTTTTGTAAAAAAAAATTAAACTGACGCACACAATCAAAATCTACAATTTATGAGTAATTAACCCCAGCAAGCCGATGACAGACAGAAACATATAACAACTAACATTCCCTGTTGTGAAAATGTATCTAAGTGAAACTGCAAGTGAGCGAGCTAACTAAGCATCTAGTGTAGAGATAAAGAGAGATATCCTGGATACACTATGTAAACAACTTGTTCTCAAGAAACATGTAGTAATGCCAAATGTGTGTGATGCTAGTTACTCACTCGTAACACCTTCTTCCATCTGTTAGCACTCTGTTCGCTGCACAGTGAGACTATTGAGTCATGTTTAAGTTTTTGCAAATGATGCCACTGAAATAAACAATAAACTGGTGCACCAGTTTGACAAACATAACAGAGTTTTTCCTGTACTTCTGTACTTCCTAGTTCCAGGCAGGACTGTCAGATATTCATTAGTGTTAAAAAAAGGCGATTGTTTGTACACATCTTAGTACTTTTCCTCGTACCTTTGAAGAAGACAAATTTGCCATCAGATCTCTCGTAGGCAGCGTCGATGCGAGGTGGCAGGCCCTTCCAGAACTGATCGATCTGCATGGGGTAACCCTCCTGCACCTTGTTGTTCCTCAGACGCCAAAACCACCGGTCCTGCAAAAAAACGAGTTGCAAGTTAAGAATTCAAGGTCATCGGAGACGCCTAAACCAAACCTACAAAAACTCCAGTGGCATTATTAAACAAAAGCTTTAAATAGTTGGAAAGTGGTTTTGAGAACTTTTTGAATTGCTGCCTTGGTGCAGGTTTTATTGATTTGCAGTTTTCATTGCAGCTCAAAGTGTCTGATTTCAAAGGTGAGACAGATCTGGGAATTATAAAGCTGCGTGTACACATTGTTCTGGTTATAAATCTCAGTTATTGTGGAAGTGGGCCCCTCAATCAATCATTTCAATAACAATAATTGTGCCTGCTCTACTTGTTTTGACTGTACAATGAAAAGAACAAGCAAAGAAGGAGAGCGATTTTGCTTTGTATCACAGCAGCAGAGTTCTTTAACAATGCCAGAGCAGCTGTCACTACACGCAGCTGCGGCCATATATAATGCCAGTATCATTAATATATATATATAAAAAAATCCCCCTCTCACCCCTTGCGGGGTGGTGCTTGGATCCTCTACCAGAGGCCTGGGAGTTTGAGGGTCCTAGGAACAACTGTTATTAAATATATATATATATATATATATATATATATATATATATATATATATATATATATATATATATAAATAAATAATCTGCAATGATCTCAATCATCATTATTAAAAATTGCAAATGCTCTGTATTTGTATAGCGCCTTTCTAGTCTTTCCGACCACTTAAAGCACTTTTACACTACATCTGCATTCACCATTCACGCACATTCACACACTGAGCCTAAGTGCTCAGAACTAACATTCACGCACATTCACACACTGGCAGAGCCAGGAGCAATTCAGGGTTCAGAATCTTGCCCAAGGACACTTCGACATGCAGCCTGGGGGAGCCGGGGATTGAACCACCGACCTTCCGATTAACGGCCAACCCGCTCTACCTCTACCATTATTAAATGTCAGAAAGATTATAGTGCTCACAACAAGATAGACCATGACGGTTCCCATAGAAATGGGAATCAGCTGATCTTTATCAGCGGGATGGCTAACCAGGCGTACATTTAGTAAAGTAACCAGTTAGTCTTCATCCTTTAAGGGGCTTCTCTTGTAAAACAAAACTTGGGATAAAGAATAAATGTCACTTTTGCATTGCTGATTAAAGTTTATTTTAAAGTGTGGAATGGGCTCATGTGGCCTTTGTGAAACAAGAATTCAGTTCTCACCAACCACACCTGAGGGTGTTTCGGCCCTCGAGCCTCAGGAGACAGTAAAGAGCCCATTAAGGTTTGGTACATGAAATGTATGGGGCTGATTGTTCTTATGTTGTGTATATATGATCCAATAAAGCTAAGCTTAGTGCACCACAATGAGGCAAAGAGGCCACTGTAAAACTTACTTGGACAGGCGACACAGAGGTGAGAGTTATGATTTAGCCGAGGTGTTTCCAGACCGTATTACAAGAGAAAAGACTTCAAGGATGACGACTAACTGGTTGGTTTGGCAAATGTGCGTCCGGTTAACAGCCCCAACTCTGATAAAGTGCAGCAAAGCTTTTCTATGGGAACCACCAGGGACTGTCGTGTGGTTCATTCCATAAGGTATTCTGCAGTTTTCCCACAACATTTATTTAATAAAAATATCTAAGAAAAGAAGAATACATCTGTAGCATACCGCTGTCTCTCACAGGCACTGCTTCATGCTATCATAGAGATGAGAATAATGGAAGATGAGGGCTGAAAACAAAGGGAACACAGAAGACAGAGGGCAGAAGACAAGAAAAGTGAGGTGATGCAAGGTAAAGGGAGGGAGTTAAGGACGTGGAAGGCATGAGAGAAAGAGATGGGAAAAAAAGGAGAGAAAGCAAAAAGACAAGAAGAGAAAAGCAAAGAAGAGAGCGAGAGGCAGAAAAGGACAAGAAGGCGAACATCAATCTTAGCTCATTATCATTTGGCTTCGGCAAATCTAGGACACAGCCAAGCACAGTCCCCGCTGAGTGACACACTCACACACCATCTCATATGATCCAACATCATCCACTGGGCGCTGATGCTTTTCTGTGTGAACCCAAACAAAAAAAAAAAGAAAATCAATGCTTCACATCAAGCGAAGGAAACGAGCATTTCCCACCAAGGAAACATCCCATAATGAGTGTCTTCTTTCAAACCGCCAGTGCTTTGTGTCTTAATACGCTCCTGTCCTCGAGTTCTCGGATTGATGATGATGCATTTTTGAAGTTACAGTAAAGTGTTTCTTTCAAGGCCATAAACTCCCACAATGCTGCAAAAGTACAATGTGTAACTAGATGTTTCCAGCCCCGTCACTCCACTTCTGTTGGCCTGTTTTTAAATCTGCCACTCCGGCAGATTAAGACAAATAACAGCGTGAAAAAAATCTAGCCAATTTATTCCAATGAGGCCACAGCAGAGAAACAAGCGCATGATTCAAAAACACAATTCACTCTCTTCAAGCAAGGTGCCGCGCTGGCCAATCAAAGAAGCGATTTAAACGTCTTTCTCAAGTGTGTCCCAAACTGTGCTCTCGTTCTATCCTCAGTTTAGAGACCCATTTGGCATTAAAACGTTTGCATGTCCGCTCTCTCACACTCCTAAACTCAAAAACAAGGGCACATTACAGTTTTCATATTTTCAATTTAAACTTGAAGCTGCAAAAACTGATATTTTTGGCTTCTTGGGGCAATAAAAACAAGACACATCCCCAACTTTAAGTCCAGCACTGACTCTCTTTTAGCTCTCTTTTTGGTCTTCACCAGCTCCTGAGGGAAATTGCGGGCTCTTCAGCTGCTAAACGTTCACTAGCTTGCCTCTAACTGTGTCCGAGCGGTGAGAGTGAACCAAAACAAACATGTACGAGCACTAGCAAGTACCAGTCCAACGACAGGCGTACCGGACCATCAGTATGTTATGTAAAGTACGTGACCTAAGTCATGATGTTTAACACGTGGTAAACGGTTTAGGAAAACATGGTGGTTTGGGTAAAGATAAAGACATTATGCAAGTCTACAAACTTTAACTTAAAACATGTCAACTTTGACAAGGGACTTTGACAAGAGAGTCTCCCGTGTGAAAGCACTTAGTTTACACCACCATCCACAGACTTTGTCGCTCTTTATCCTACGTCACGTGACTTTATTTTAAGAAAAACTTTGTTAAAAAATCGTTTTCTTGGTGGTCTGGATAAAATATATATTTTTTGTTGTGTAAACAAGGATAAGAAACACACAGCCCTTCCAGTGTGGTGCTGGCTCGCAGGCACGTTTCGTGTCGACATTAGTTTTCTTAAATTTTTAAGGGAAAAACACATTCCTAAACTCAACACCAATATACACACCTGCATGCTACAGAGCAGGTAATGACCCAGTTTGAAAGACCTGATCCACATACAATGTATGTGCAGTATACGTAAATACACCTGAGCCTAAAATATCTCCACCTACATCTCATTTAGGCCCTCTGCAACTGTAGCAGCTGCTCTTTTCTCCCAGTTCGACTATATTTTGTTATAATGATCCATTTAGTTAATGTTCCACGAAATGTTGATACTTGAGGTGACCTGAGTTAAGAACAATGGTCTGCTTCTCTTTTTGTGCTTTATTCAGTGCATTTTCCACATATGCATATAACGCATCGCAGACATGTCTGCTATGTTATTATGATGAATATATATATATATTCTCTACGATCTAGTGATGTACAGTATGCAGGATTCTGTGAAGTAATTAAAGGAGTTGGTTGGGGGCATCTCTCACTAACCTCACAGACTGTGCTATGCCTTATTTCTTTTTTTAAATGTCCATGGGCCTTGTCCTCTTAAAATGTCTATCAATAAACAGAATGGATCAGTAAGATGAGTTGGCACTGACACTGCACCCTTTTTATTACACCAAACTGCAAGGCACTGCTGGGGCATCACAGTCTTATTAGACTACTGAACAGCAGAACGTCTTGTAATGTCCAGGTGTAGTTTAAAACAATGATATGTTACCTCACACACACATAAAAGTGATAAAAACTATAATTACTGCCCCGAGGTTGACCAACTAGTCAGTCTGTCCAGACGCACATAAAATATGTAGTGAATACTTGGAAGGAAGTGCATAAATGGTACTATGTGTCTTTTTGAGGCTAAATTTAAATTGGCGTGACTTTTTGTTGAGAGGTGGCGGGGACATGGGCTCAGATTAGGGACCATACACTTTTAGCTCACAAGACGTGACGATGCACAATTTTGGGTTCACGAGAACAAGACAAGAAGATATTTTTACACTGTTTAAGAGATATTCAATGCTAAAATATATCAGTGGAGGTCTGGGAGGTCCTCCCCCAGAAAGATTTTGAACAATAAAAACTTAATTTACTGCATTCTGGAGACATCTGCTGCACCAATTTATGGTGGAAATGTCTTTATTTCCATTAAAGGGGAAAACAAAATTCAGGTAGGTAGGTGACAGCTAGAAAATATAATAATATAACGGCTAGTTTTTCAGCTTAAGTTACTTTTTGTGGACGATGCACATTTGTTTCTTCTATATTTACATTGCATTGCGTGTTTGCTTAATGTGCACATAAACCTTTCTCAAAGCGTTTTTATTTGTTATTTTAACATTTCTTGTTCATTTCTTTTTAAAATGTTTACTAAATGCTTTCAAAAGTAGTGGGGACATGTCCCCAGCGTCCCCAGTTTAAATGACACCAATGTATTGATGATACATATGTATGATCCCACTGAATGTAACAACATTGTTGAACTGATCGATGGAGGATTATCTGTATTGGCTCAACAGGTACACAAGTATTACGTAAAGATGGATTCTCATAGAGTACAGCTACATAAAATGTGGTGCTTTTGCTTTCTCCTGCCGCTTCTCGACGAGCTGCAGGTGAAACTCACTCAGGTGATTTGGACAACCCCCGACATTCAGAATGAGGCAGAAAGTGAAACACAACTTGGAGAAAAGCTTGCACTGTGCTGCTTATTATATGTTCCAGTCAACATGTGAGTGACTTCTGGAATCGGCCAATTCATTCTTAAATTATGGCTAAAAAGCTATTGAGTTTGAAGATGACCCATGAGTCAAATATTACATTTTCAGTGTCTGACCACCTGTGAAATATGGCCACAATCTCCACTTCTGTTCCTGAGTGACGTTGACCTTTGACCATTTGGGTTGGACTTCAACCGTTGTACCCCGTTAAACATCCGTGTGAAATTTTCTCATAAGTACTGCATTTCTAATCCACTTGGACGTACGTCTGTGCCAAAAATGCAAGGTGCTGGTCTGATCACCGGGAGCATTGTGGTTCAGAGTCTTGCTCAGGGACACTTCGAAACAAACACCAAACACAATCGTGGACGACCAGAGCCACAGCTGCCCGTGTCAGCAACAAATACACATTTATTCTACTTTATTTTGTAGTCAGACTTTAAAGACCGAGTGAAACAGAGGGAACCAGAGAGAGACAGACAGATGAGTAGACATGTACGCAGGTAGGACAACAGATGGATGTAGGAACAGATATACAGACAGGCAAACAAGGGGGAAATGGGAGTTTGGCAGACCAATAGAAATCCACCAGAGGGGAGACAGACAGGTATGGACAGGTGAGCAGATGGAAAAGAGAAAGACACATATCGACAGGCAGGAAGGTGGACAGACGGAGAGATAGACAGGTCTGTGACCTTTTCTAACATTCAGTTTAAAGATCAGAGACATCAAAATGGATTTTTCTTCTATGCTGGTCCTCTCACACACAGACACACAGACACGTACAATGTTTAAAACAGAAAGCCGTCCCTCCTCTCTCTGTTTTATAGTGGCCGCTTTAACATTTTTGATCCAAAACGTGCATATTCATGTGAACCTCATCGTGTAAACGCCTGCTGTGTGCGTGTCTGCATGAACGTAATAACAGAGCTGCAGTGATCAGCTACTAACTAAGCACATGCCTGGTGCTAATTATCGTGGGCTGGGTGGTACCATATGCCACTGGGATGATTCTTCTTCTGAACAGCCTTTCAGAGCTACGAGGGCACACATTTTTAGCACGGCCAGCCCCAGTGGGAATCGAACCCCCTGCCAGATCATTACCTTTTGAGCTACAGAGCGACCATGCCTCGCTCACAGCCGCTTAGGTCTTGCATCCTCCCCACTTAATGTTCAATTAAGCTTTATCTAAATCCCCCAGTGTCACGCTGTTTTATATAGCAGCACGCGGCCGTATGACTCCCCCTCTGCAGCAGCTAACACCATTAATTATCTAGAGAACAGCATCCTGTTCTCAAAGAGCGCATCTGCATCACAACATACTATTGTTCACCTTTAGGTACAAGCTACAAGATATATATAGCTACTAGATTTATTTGTATAATGAGATGAAGCTGTAGTTCACTTTATGCTACTCACAAGAATTCTATTCACTAGATGGGTGGATAAATAAGTCATAGAAATAAAATTATTTTCTGCGGTGGAAGTCAGTTAAAATAATGTATAATGTCATACTTTATTGTCACATACATGTTGCGAAACTCATCCTCGGCATCTAACCCATCCCTCAAGGGAGCAGTGGGCAGCCGCAGTGCGGCGCCCGGGGACCAACTCCAGGGGTCTCATTTATAAAACGGTGCGTGGAAACCTCACTAAAAGTGTACGTGCGCCGAAAAGCCAAAAAAATTAACTATGCCAAAAAATATTCAGACCATGCGTACGCACACTTTTAAGAAAGTACCCTTTTATAAATCACAATCAACTTGAAATGTGACGCATGTGAGGGAGCTCCATGTCCAACCCTTCAAACGCCCACAGTTGCCTATAAATGATCAGTGAAACGCCGCTCATTAATATTAATACTTCCTGACTGCAGGAAGAAAAGGAGGCAAATTCTCACAGAGAAGCTACAAAACGAGATTTAACTCAGTGTGACGCTGACGTTCCCTTTGGTGAAGCTGAAGCATGTTTGAAGCACTTTAACGCAACGCTTGTGCACCAGAGGAAAGGGGGCGCCGGAGCTCCGCCCCTTTATAACACAAGCTGAAAACGGCATCAATTTATATATAATTTGTCCTCCTGTTCAACTTATTTAAGAGAATAAATTTCAATGCATGCAAGTAGCCTATTAATTAATATGATTCCTGATTAAAGTGTCCAACATATTTGAGGTGTTCTTTTGCAGAAATAGAATCTCCGTTTGTGGTTATTATCCTTAATCATGGTTCTTTTTGTGCGCCGCAAATTATCTTAAATTATGTTTTTTTTATTGTGTACTTCAGGGAAAATCACTCAAACGAGTGTCTGATTATTTAGAAAGGCTTTTAGCCTGTACTACTCAGAGGTAATATTTCGATATTTTTTACACAGTAGTAAGCCTATTCATTTCAAACAGTTTCATCCTTCTGCCATGTGAGTCGCCGTTTCTCATTTCTCGTCTTTATGTGCGTACGCATGGTTCAGAGTTTACTTACAGGATGCACATTTTCTTGGGAAGTGGTGTGTGCACATTTCCAGCCTTGTTTTGTACGTACGCACCGTTTATAAATGAGACTCCTGAACGTTGCCAGTGTCTGGTCAATAACACTGACAACCTAACATGTTTTGATGGTGGGGAAAACTGGAGCACACGGATGAAACCCACGCAGACACGGGGAGAACATGCAAACTCCACATAAAAAGGCCAGGGCAACTGGGGTTTAAATTTATTATTTTTTTATTGTTGGCACCCATTTATTTTTTAGGCTGGATGTGTCTCTTTGTCTCTGACCTCAGCTGTGTTTTTCTGTTGCGTCTCTTCTCACCTTGAAGACGAACATCTCCCGTCTGAAGAAGGCCACAGTGTTGAAGTTGCCGTCACAGATGTTGGGTTTGCCGTTACCAGGCAGCGCCGGACGGTCGCCGGACGGGCGCGCCGGACGGGAATGACGGTCATGCTTGCGTTCGGAGGTGGAGTGTGTCCGTCGAGAAGGTAAGGTGGGTAAGGGCCTGGTGGGTTCCAGCATGGCCGTGGGGATGCCTGGTGAAAAACACAGATAACAACATGATTCATTACACTGTGGTGCTCAAATATTGTTAGTGGGTTTATGAGACGACTACAGGAACACAAAGATCACAGCATGAGACACTGTGTCAATGGTTTTAGAAATTGCTTTGGAACCTCTGAGACAAAAAGCGATCAACAGCATTTTGTTTAGGGATTCATTCACGTTCCCAGCAGCAGAAAGCAGCTGTTTTCAGATTTTAATCACAAATCCTAAAAAACTAAAATCTTAGACAATTACTAGACATTTACAACTAAATATTTCAAGAAAAAGGAAACATCTTTCCTCCAAAATGTTCCTACTTTAAAGGTTGAAGTAGAAACATAATGTCCAGTAAACTGCACTTGCACACCAACAGTCTTTTTTTTTTTAAATAAAAGTGCTCACAGAGTGGACGGATGGTATTTTCAGATGCTAGACAGACAAAGCAGCCAAATACCATCAACTCTCAGCAGATACAATAACAGGCTTTGTTAGCCACACTGAACACAAGTGCAGTGGAAAAATACTGTTGACCGCGTTGCTTTGGCCAGTTTTCCCTTCAACACTGACTCAAAATGTCACCCATGTATCATGACCTTTAATTTTGAGATCGCTTTTTGTTCTGAAGGACAAAGATAACCTTCCTGCTTTGAAGCTTAAAGGAAACCGGACAAAGTGTAACTAAAGAGCAAAACAATACGAGCAGTACCAACGACATATTAAATGTTTAGGTCTTAAAAAGTAATATATCACTAACACTTTATCTCTGACATCGCAGACATGTTTCATTTTGCTGCTTCTTTGTTTCACAAATAAATGCTACTCCCCATTACAACAGAAGCTGTCATGATTATTTCGGGGGAGACAAAAAAGCGTGTCTGCGTCTGACAGGCCTTCGCCTTTCTTTGTTCACTTCAGGAAAAAAAAAAAAAAGACTGAAATGTGAGGCGTCTTCTCTGAAACGGAACAGTGTCCCTGGTGTGAGCACAAAGGAAAAGAAACAGTCGTGCATTTTGTTGTTTAATTGTTTCTCTTTTGACCAGCACTGTATATTACAGCCTGACGCTGCTTTACGTTCATATATATTCCCCCAGCGCTCAGCGGGTGGACGCTGGACAACAGTTCTTCATAATTCAGCCTCACTCTGGGCTTTAAAATTAATAATTAATATCTAAGGTGTGCTGTTTTTGCTATTGCAAGTTTTTGCTTTCAGGTCTCAAGTGAAGTCAAGTGTGTTTTCCCTTCAAGTCTTGGACTTAAAGTGGAAGCCCTTAAGATTTTCATGAAGTCAAACCCCATTTTTGTTTCTATTTATGGTTGGCATTCTTTCTGCAATGGACATCCAGTGTATTACATTATGTAATCTCCTCTCTTTATAATGTTTTTTATTCTTAGTGGCGGAGTCTGGCATTCCCACATTGGATTCAAACTGCATTCATATCCACAAGGAATTCACAAACAATGCAGCATGTAATCTGTTTACTCTCCTACAGCTGTATCAGAGCTATATTAAGCTAATGCTAACCCAATATGTTCTTCTGCTGCTGCTTCACAATGAAAGCAAAAACCAGAGATAACTTGTATTTGATTTGTCACTGAGGTTTCAGTGTGTTTGTACTTGCAACTCGTTTTCCACCTGAGTTATGAGACTGGGAGTGACAAATGTCCCTGCCCGCCAACTCGGTCGACCTCAGAAGACCCCAAGTTCAGAAAGCGAGATGGCTGGCTTTAGCAAAAGCTGTGGTATTAAAGTTTTTTTTAGCACTTTTGTCTTTTTTTGTGTCCAGTAAGTCGTCTATTGTGGCGTTATGCTACGATCCTGTTACGCGTGAAATACCACAGTGGATGAGATGTAAATATGTCAGTAACTCAGTTGTCTGCAGGATATGTGCACAAATAAACAGCAATAAAGATTCAGTTAAATGTTTTTTGTACATTTTTAAAATTTTGCCCAAATAAATCAAATAATACATTAATGTAAATATATTCAGGAAGATATTACAATACAATATTACATTAATCATGCAATAGTTTTATCACAGAACTGTCACTTCCGATATAAATGTAAATTCACACACACATTCATATGCCAATGGAAACCCATGGAAACCGACTGAAGAGCCATCAATCGCAGTTCAAGGTTCAGTAACTTCGACAGGCTGCCGATCTTCCCGATTAACAGGCAACCCGCTCTACCTCCTTGACTTTCACAGTATGAACGACATTCATCATGTGATGTGCCACAATGGTGACATTAACCAATTCCAGCATTTGAATTTTAGGCATTTCCACTCATTAAAACACACAAATTGAAAGTGCGCATAAAAACAGGTAGATGCACCAATGTCAGTACCATTTTGATCAACAGACCAACACAAGAACGACATGACGTCATCTTAAATGGATCATTTGCGTGATAAATAAATAAATAAATAAAGTGATTACCGTAGATTTTCTGTATGCCCTGCAGGTCATCCAGAGGCAGTTTGAAATTGTGTGTGTCCATGTACTGGTAGAAAGGAGCCATGATGGCACTGGGATCGTTGGAGTGCTCCAAACCCAGCGCATGGCCCAACTCATGGACCGCCACCAGGAACAAATCATTACCTGGAGAGAGAGAGAGATACGACAAGTAAGAAGAGAAGATCAGAGGAGAGGGAAAGAGAAAGCATGGATAAGAAGAGTAAAGGGAGGTGAAGAGGAAAGAGAAATGTGGAGGTGTGGAGAGAGGAAGAAATAAAGCAAGACAAAGGGATTAGAGATAAAAGAAAGCCAGAGAGAAACATCAGCACTTTCAGCATCACTGACAGTCTTTTAAAAAAGCTTTTAAAAAAGACTATTTCAAAGCAGAAATGAGGCAATAAAACAGAAAACAGGAACCACTTTGTGCCGCTGACAGGCCTTTCCGCTGGTTTTTGGAGGCAGACACAGTTTCAACATCTCCCTCTTGTCTGAAACGGAACAAAGCCTCCCCAGTGGAAACACAATGGAAAAGACCAAAGACCCAGGCATCAAACTGGAAAAGTGAGCTAAAGTCAGTCTGTGATGCCGTTGACTCATCATCAGTGTAACATGAATCTCACATCAAAAGGAGAATTTGTGGGAAATGGAAGCGACTGTCAGCTTGTGAATTTGAATCCTATTTTTAAAGTCCAGTATGAGCCAGCTCTTCAAACGCTGCTGCTTGACGGGGATTAGTTACGAGTATACGGCAAACTGTTTAGTGCCACATCGAGTGAAATTCACACGTTCACACTTACACAAAATGAGATTTTAAATATATAATCTGTGACTGTATAAATAATGTGCTGCTGCTTGAGGATTTCCAAATACGCCCGGGAACAAGCAAACATGTTGAAGTTGAAATAAGAAAATAACTGCTCAAAACACAACCAACAGCATTTCACGTGCAAATAGGACTGACTTTCAAATTAAATGCTCCTATATACACATTTCATGATCTGAGCAAGCTTTGGAAAATGTTATAAATTTTGGTTTGAACAGACTCTAAATTAGGCTAAGACCTTATTTACAATCAGTCACTGGCGGCTTGGGCAGATCTGATATATCAGTTATCAAAGAAGCGTTAATGATAAAAGGTGTTTTTAATAAGTCTCTCCAAGATGCACATAGTCAATTATTGGACTAACCGCTGCAGATCTACTGTTACGGTTGTAACCAGGCATTGAAGTGGGCCCGGTACTTTCTTTTTTTATTTTACTTTTTGTCGTCCCGGGATTTTTTCTTGCGCACTTCTCACAAGTTGCCGGTACTCTTTTCCGCCCTCTCCACCGGCCGAGTAGGAAATAGATTGTGTGCTTTTTATCCAAACATGTGCAAGTTGCTTGTCAGTGTCACGTTTCGTGAACCAACCAATCACAGCCTGGATGGGGCGGGACATTATAAAAAGGTTAACGTACAAACTGCGAACTAAATGTTGAACTTGTTGGTAATGATTACTGATAAGTTAGTACTAAGCATTAACAAATCAGAGAACTACCACCACTGTAGACCATATTTCTTGCACAAGGATTTAATTAATGAATACAACCCACAAACATAAAACTGCTGTAACTGGAATTAATATTAAACTAGTGGTAAGCTACATCGTAAACTATAAAGTAAACTGAAATTATAATCAATAAACTAACATTAGCCTTAATCAAACTAGCCAGTATACACGCCAACATGTGAATGGGGAGTACTGGCACCAATTTGTTTTTTCATATTAAGCACTGGTTGTAAGCAAGCGAGTCTGAAAAGTGAAGCCAATACTGAAGTGCCTTGAACCTGCCCTCTTTCTAACAACCAGCAGGGGGCGACTTCACCGGCTGCAGAAAGAAGTGTGATTGTATTAGGGCTGTAACAATATAACAAATATTTAATAAATGTTTGATTTTATTCACTTGAGTCATACACAAATTAGGACTTAATTGTTTATTAAGATGTTTGTTGAGGAAAAAGGACTGAAAAAAAGCTTTTACTTAATTTTACTCATGCATATGTGTTGAAAAAGATTTTATCATAATTGTTTTGAATGTTCTACCTCAGATTTGTGAAGTGATCCACTGTTTGGCATCAAATGTTCACCATAAAGAAAAGTTTAAACCACAATTAACCATCAGGTTTCTTCAACTTTCACTCCAGGGCAAAAATCAGCTTTTAAACTCGAAAGAAATAACGATTTGATACTTATCGTGATAATTATCGATATCGAAAGATATGAAACTTTTTATCGTGATAATGATAATTTTTGGCTGTATCGTCCAGCCCTAGATTGTATAGAAGTCTATAAGAAAATGATGCTACTTCTCCGCTGATTTATTACCTCACTAAAACACTTTCCTAATGAGTTTATGGTCTCAGTCGCTAGTTTCAAGTCTTCTTCAACACAGCTTGTAATTGACAAGTATACCGTGGGGACCTGTCAATCAGGATAGATGTGACTTGTATCTCCTGTATTTAACCAGCGCCTGAGTTTTAAGCCTGTTTGTTGCTAGACAAAATTAGCATCCCGGTTAAAAAAACAGTTCTGTCAGGCAGATTAGGTAGGCCTCCTGTGGGCCCCGTAGGGCAGCCGCACCCTCATGCCTCCCCAGCTCCACCCTCTCGTCTGAACATGGTCACTTCTGTCTCCAAAAAAAAACAACAACAACATGGCGACGGCCAAAATGCCGAACTCAAGGCTTCAAAACTGTAGTCCACAAACCTATGTGTGACGTCACTTTGGCAACATCCACTTCTCTTATACAGTTAATGGTTTTAACTAAACTGTTAACAGTTATTCTTCTTCTGGCATTTTGGGCAATCACTAAACAGCTTCAGGTGCTTCACCACCGCTGTCGGGACGGGAGAAGGTGGACTCTGATTTGCTTGTAGCCTGAGAAAACCAAGGCAAATGGCATATTTACCATCTGGCCAACGTACGCATATGTGTAATTGAAAGTATCTTAAATCTAATCTGGATTTTATCTGGATGCGAGACACTTGAATTGAAAACTGTAAACTGTAAAAGGACATAGATTAAAACAGATGAAAAGAGGGGACACAGAAATTTAATTATTTCTTAAAGGGATGATTTTCCAGCTGAAGCGTAAACTGAATTTAATATTCACAGTGCTACTTGTACTCATATAACTTCTTATCAAAATAATAGCAACAAAGAGAACAGAGGGCCGTGTTTTCCCGGATGTCATGTATTCCTGCGGGGTTTGTTAAAACCAGGCTCCATGTCGTAATCTTAAGAGCTGAGATTCTGAGCCGCTGTCAGACGCTTAATGACTTCTTACGGTCTGAACGCAGAGCTCAAATTAATACATTTCATCAGCTCGGTAATTGGTTTGACTCAGTTTGAACCTAATTACAGAACATAATTATCTTTTTTTCTTTACTCGTCTGTTTGAAGATTATAGCCTCGGTGGCCAGCAGCTGACTTATAGACTAATGCGACTGTATAGACGGTCAGGGGAGAAGTTTCTTTCAGCTCTTTCATTAAATGTCTTCTCCACTTTCTCTTCCTGGGGTTTACAGATGTACGGTCACTTCTTTTACTCGGTTTTCATTGTTTATGCTATTTCACAAGCTTGATACACGAGTTTCTGCTGACAATTCATCAAATCATTAAGACAGAATGATGCCCGTCATTACATGCAGGCCTGTAATCTGATAACATCTTTATTTTCTCTACTGTAACGGAAGACAGTTACTTTATTTTTGTATCCCGATTACGTAACGCCGTTACATGTAATCCGTTACTCCCCAACCCTGCACACCTGTGAGGTGGATGGATTATCTCAAAGGACAAGTGCTCACTAACACAGATTTTGACAGATTTGTGAACAATATTTGAGAGAAATAGGCCTTTTGTGTACATAGAGAAAGTCTTAGATCTTTGAGTTCAGCTCATGATGTTTCTAATTTTGTTCAGTGTAGATGAAAACTCAAACAACTACAATTGTAATTGGGCACCTGTACTTAAATTAACGTCAATCCATCCAATGGCGCTCTGAAATAAGTCAGCTGAGGAGTCAGTAGGATCTGTTGTCAGAGAACCATGAATGTCTGTACACATTTTTCATCAAGTAGATGTTGAGTCATTTCATTGGATAAGTGAAGACTTTAATGTGCTGGTGGCGCTAGATGGGATCAAAAATATTAGCATTCATCCCTTTTTTACAACAATCCAATCTTCTGGACGTTTCGCTCAAAACCTTGTGGTGGCGCTAAAGGAAAATTTAAGTGATAACCAAAGTTAGTAGGATTCATCCTCTGGGGACAATGAATGTCTGTACAAAATGTCGTGGCAATACATCCAGTAGATGCTGAGATATTTCAGTCTGGACCAAAGTGGTGGAGCGACCGACAGACTAAGAGTGGCTACAAAGCAGACTATTGGTACCAGCATCCAAAAACCTGATTAATATTCATATAATCATCCCTCTGTTTCCTTTAGTCTGTACTTTCCTTTCCTGAAATCTCTTTCTCACACTCCTTTACCTGTATGCTGCTGTTTCTTTCATCCCTCTCCTCCGCCTTCTTTTAAGCTCCCTTCCTCTCGCCACAGCCCTCCTCCTCCCTTCTTCCCCCAGCCTTTATCTCTCCGCTCCCTACGCCTCTCTTTCTTCTATGTCGCAGAAAAGATAAAGATGATTTTACAGCACAAGACGCACACTTCATGTACAACAGCTTGAGGGAATCCCCAGTGGGTTCTCTCTATGTGGCTGCCTCTCCCCCCGTGGTTGGTCTATAGTCTGCTTCGGCACCCCGCAGTGACGATAACGGCTTCCTCTATCATGTTTGCCCCTGCAGTCGTCTGCCTGCCTGCGATAAAGACGATGTTTGATATTGCTGTGATGAAACCTGTCTCTCAAGTAATCCCAGTTTGACGTGTCCACAGAGTCTGCTTTGTTCGACTCGAGCAGTTCCCCCCCGCTGAAATGTTCCTTCTTGGCGGAGATGAGTTTGCATGCCAGAGATCATTTTGTACAAGCAGCTTGTGAAATTAACTTTTTGGCTTACCTGCCAAGTACTGGTAAAGTACAAAAAAGAACCTGCCAAGACCATTTATTTTTCTCTGTCTGAAATCATTAATATGCGGAACATTTATTTTAACCTTCCCCCCTTTTCAAACCTATTCCAGTCTAGAAATGAGTCCTGCGTGAAATATACTTTCTATTAGCAGATTTATTCACCACTTGCTCCGTCACTTATGGATCACAAATGTAAATTATAAAAATAAGAGGATGCATTTGTGTGTAAAGGGTAAATATACAGGCAGAGACCCACACTTATTTAAAAGAGAAGAATTTAAATGTTATGGCATTTGGTGTTTGGTAGTGGTAATTTCAGACCCTGAGTTCAAGCTCTAACTATTAGTTTCAGATGAATAATATTTAATTCCCGACATTTATTTTGTGTCTCTTCCCCTCTAGAGGATTTAATTTCTTCATCTTTGAACCTGCTGGGTTATCCACATAAATACAACATACATGCAATGAGCAGGAACAAAGCACATTTTAGTAATAATGTCTGCTACGGCACTTGGCTTAAAGCGGAGATGTGACTTATGTCGTGACCTGATAATAAGATGGTATTATTAATGGTAGTTGGGGGGAATTGAGCTTGCTGGCAAGAGGAAACTGTGAGATAGAGCAGAGTAAATAGAATAAAGGCTTAGAGACAGGAAATAAAATGAGAAAGTGAACAATTTAAATGCACAGATACTGTGACATGTAGGATTTACTTTGTTAATAACACACTTGATTGTATACCTCGATCCCTAAACATTGAAAAACACAAACTCTATGGATGACGTGTGGGCCAGTTGATCAGTCCAGCACTTTGGTAAAAATAAATCTCAACAACTATTAGATGCATTAGCATAGAATGGCGATCCTCTGACTGAGGTTGAATGTTTTGGTTCAGAGTAAAATATCTTGACAACTACTGTATGAAATTCGAGATATTCAAGGTCCCTAGATGATAAATTCTTAAGACTTGGTGATCCTCTGATGATGCTTGATGAAAAGTCAAATACTTTGGTTTATGACCAAATACAAGGTACAAGGTAAATGTATTTGTACACAGCGGGGTTGTAAAATGAGATGTAGTTTGTAGTTCCCTTTGTGCCACAAAAAGCAAACGATATATACAATAAATACACAATGATCTGCAGAAATGAACAGAACTACAACAGAAATATGTTGCATGCTGCATGGCTGAGGATGAATTGAATTTAAGAGTCTTATACCTGCAGAACAAATGACATTCCCATAAGCCTCAGCTGTACTTTGTGTCTGGTGCCAATTAGAAAAATGGACCGCTGTGCCAAAGTACAGCCTCACAGAGCTGCCAGCGTGGCTGTGTGTCTTGATCAATTAAAAGACAGATTGCAGATGTGACATTCATAAATTGATTTCACAACGACTAGGCCTGCAACTAAAAGAAAAACTGTCACAAGGTAGTTTCAGTTCAGCTTCATTCAGCTTCAGCGTCATTTTAGTGAGCTTGGCATTCGCCCCTTTCTCCATAATCAGGCTGCTGTAACAAGCGTTCAGTTTTATTTAATTCATTAATTTATTTATTTATTTATAACACACATTAATAGACATTACTGTAAATGTGCCAGTGTTAGCCAGCTAGCTAATTTTCAACTGCAGTCCTTCAGCAAGATGTTTAACAACCTGTAACTACATCGAAAGTACCGTAGGTCCATATTAGCGGGACAGTCCCTCCAGGATTATTAATGTCGCGATCGCAACTATAAACACAAATTCAACAAATCCCTGTGAATTCAGCGCGACCTCAAATTTGACCGATCATCGCCGTTTCCTGCAAAATGTTGTCATTCGTCAGCTTGTCACTTCCTTGTTTACAACAAACACATTCATTTGATGACAAAAAAGTACTGTGAAGAACAGGATCCAGGTCTTCTTTACCAAAGCGGGGCTAAACTGTTTTGGAAAACACGTAGTATTGCGGTCGAACATAAAAGCAAATCTTCTATTGACAAACACTTTGCCGCTGCAAACACATACACAGTGTGGCAGAAATGCATGGAGGACGTCAGACGAGACAAATAACTGTGACACAGGCTGCTGCATCAATTGCAAGCACTTAAAGAATCTCGGTGAGCTGGTTTAAATATGCGTGGTTTGGGTTGGGGTCGAAAACCTGGAGGGACTGTTAAATGATTCAACTATAATTCTAAAGTAAAAAAAACCACATCTATCTTAGCAATTTTCACATATTCTCACATTTTTAATCGCAAAAGAAACCCCCAAAACATCGCAACTTTCATTGCAACGTCTTAGACATTTAAATAGGCTGCAACAATCACAAAAAAATGCCTGTGAAATCCTGGAGCGACTGTCTACACTAAAAGCACTTCCAAAAGCAAATAGTTTAATGAAGTCATTGTTATGACATTATTAGCCTCGCTAATATTATCTTAGCATTAAGAAAATGGACCCATCAGGGGCTAACGTTAATGTTAAGCTGGCACTCAGCATGTGTCGTAATAGACAGCAAAATGGTTCAGTTCAATTCAATTTTATTTATATGGTGACAATTCACAACAGAAGTTATCTCATTGCAGTTTTCATAGCGCAGGTCAGTCCCTGAGCTCTAACTCCAAGTGGAATTAGAAATAACAAGTTGGCTAGCTAATGTTAGACTCCATGGAAATAACATTAACAGCCGATGTTATATCATGGCTTGCATTTGCTAAATCAAAACAACTCAATCTAACCCGAGACATAAACTGCACACTACTTCCTGAGTTACTCGGGCAATGGACGTAAATCGATTCGATTTGAATGGAACTCGTGGGGATACTGAGCTGGAAAGCAGTACTGAAAACTGGACAGAACAGGAGACAAATCTCTTGCAGTCAGAAGTTTCACCGCCTTGTGTCTTTGATGTGTTTTTCAGTTCTGTCCTCCAGGTGTTAACAGGTTAATCACAAATGCTGTCGCTCAGCGGCGGCAGAAAAATCAGGTTTTAAGATGAGGTGAAAATGAGGCCTGTTTGTCCTTCTGAAGCTGATACCATGAATTAGTGTTCGTTGCATCTGAGGACGTTGCCGTCTCGCTATCTAGTTTCTAATCTTTCAATTACTCTGTGTGTGTGTGTGTGTGTGTGAGAAGGGATTTAAAGATAACGAGACGTTGTGGCGGGTGTGCACGATAGCACCTGGGTGAGCGCACACTCACATACATGCTGTTAAAAGGTTTAACTGATCAGTCAATACTTTTGACTGTATTAACATGATGTATTGAATGTATTGTATTGATACCCAGTCTATAGTTTAAATTGTGGAAAAAGTTGAAGAATGCATGTATATGTGAGTGTGCACAAACCTCTCTGTCACATTAAATAAAAAACTGCCGTAATGCGTGAATCCTGAGAAATATTTCCTGGGTCAAATCATTCTGAAAGAAGACTTATTGTATTCACTTGCTGTACGGCAAATTTGGAGCTTCTCTGTCAAAGCTAATTCTCTTTTCTGCTAATCTCTCAAAACAGACCCCCCTATCCCCATCACTCCCCCCTCTCTGGGTCTCTCTCTATCAACACGTTCGTTATTCAAGCAGAGGGAATCTGGCATTAGTCATTTGTCAAACTGAGATAGAATAACGTGGGGGGGAAAAAACTACAAAGTGAAGTGTTTTTCCCTCCATTTATTATCGAATGACTAAACACTTGTGTGGTTCTCACAGATAGGGGAGAGACGGCTGAGGACGTCTCCACATTTGAAGCTTTTCATTTACAAAAGGACATATATTATTAGTGAAATAATTTAAAAGGTAGGTATTTCATAACTAGCATCCACGTTGTTTACACTGGCTGCAATACTCTAACATTAACTTGATTCAGACAGTATCAAGTAAGGTCATTAATCAAGACATTAAAATTAGGTTGTGGTGTTATTTATGTTCCCTGATATTGTTCTAGTCTCTCTCTTACAGGAGTTTTTTATTTACATTGTGCCTATGAGAATCTCCACATCTACGGCTTCTTTCCAGCTATGAGCTATCTTGACTTTGGCTAACCCCAAGGCGCCAACAATGAAGCATATGTTTCAGCATTGGAAAGCAGTTCTAAAGCTCCATTTGGACAGCGTGATTATTACAGAGGAAGGTGGGTGATAAAATGTTTCCCCTCCTTCGTCATAATAAAAGTCATTCTGGATGGCATTTTAGCGCTGCTTGATTACAGCATGTGACCTTCATCACCGGCAAGCTTAGCATAATTTTCATCAGTTTTATTTAGCGGTAATTATTTAGCTGTAATTTAAAGATTAACATGACATCTGCAAACTATTTTAATATCTCTTTCTGAATGATTAGCGTGTGGCACTTCTCTAGGGATGGCAATGTCTTAATATCTTCAAAACTAAACCATGGATTGCCATGAAATTTGGTACAAACATCCACATCCTCAGGAAGAACTGTTTGGCGATGCTCTGACTTTTCATCTAGCGGCATCGTCAGGTGAAAAATGCCATTTGTCCAATACTTTGGTCCAAATACGATCTATCAGTTTTTCCTCTACCTTTTCACTCGTGACACTGCGAGCTGAGCAGATCAGTAAACGCTGCTCTGTCTATGAAGACTCACAGATACATTTTTAAGCAAAGTGTCTCTCTGGACTGGACTTAAATTACAGGAGCACCCGAGTACAGTACAGCAAGTTAATGGTGGCTGTTTATTACTCTAAAAATACATTGGACAGGATAAAAATCACTGACGAGTGCAGGTAAAATTAAAGCCATCACACCTTACGTTGTGCTTACATTGTCTTTTTGACTGACCAAAGTCGAGGTACAAAGACACACTTAAAACAAAAATGCAGAAACTCTTTAAATGCCTCACCGTCGTGGTTGGCGTTGCCCAGCGTCCAGGGCTCGTCGGAGTCAAAGTGTGTGTCCCCTCCGATTCCGGCGCCAGGGAAGTAGGCGTGGGCCAGGAAACCCCCTTCTCCGTCAAATGGCGAGCTGTCACCATGGAAACCAGAGGCGAAGAAGATCATGATGTCAGCCTCCTTACCCTCGTTTTTGATCTCTGAGTACGGTACCTCCTGAACGGGGATAGCAGAAGAGCAGAGTAAAGAAAAATATATGGAAACGCAGAGCTGACAGAGCAGACTGTCCCGTCAGGAGTGATTAAACACTTATCTGATATTAACAACTTACATGTCTGATTGTAACCAGATGTTTTGTCAGGTTTATTAGACACTATTTATATGACAAAGTTTATTCTTTTAACATGATTTTTTTATTCTTTGTCATGAAAATGTGAAAGTTTAAAAGTGTAAACATCTGTTACAACATTTTATTAATACAATTTGTAGTTAAAAAGGGTAAAACAAGACACCTCAGCTTTTCATCCTTACATTTATTATGCTCACTTCCATTTGTTTTTCTACTTTTTATTCTATTGTACATAACTTGACCTTCAAAAAGATGCAAGTATAAACAAAATCAGTGAGTAAGTCACAAAAAAACATCAGATGGTGACGCATTTGTGATAATGAAAAGCACAAATATTTGCCATCATTTTCTCCGACCTGGAACGAAAGCGGAGTGACAGTTTGCCACACGTTGAAGGCTTGTCTGATCGCTCTCTGGGTGTCCTTCTCTCCCACTTTAGGGGTGAAGTTAGATATGCTGCGGGAAAGCAAAAACAGAGCATTAAGTGTGATTTACAACCACACACAGTATGTGCAGACAAGGATCTCTGCTAGTTGAACGGCTTCTGAAACCTCAGATTCAGACGGCAAAACTGACAATCCGACATTCATGCAGCAATTAGCCAGGTGTGAAAGTAAGCCCTCAAGTTGAGTTAAAGTGAGCCCTCAAGTTGAGTTAAAGTGAGCCCTCAAGTTGAGTTAAAGTGAGCCCTCAAGTTGAGTTAAAGTGAGCCCTCAAGTTGAGTTAAAGTGAGCCCTCAAGTTGAGTTAAAGTAAGCCCTCAAGTTGAGTTAAAGTAAGCCCTCAAGTTGAGTTAAAGTAAGCCCTCAAGTTGAGTTAAAGTAAGCCCTCAAGTTGAGTTAAAGTGAGCCCTCAAGTTGAGTTAAAGTGAGCCCTCAAGTTGAGTTAAAGTAAGCCCTCAAGTTGAGTTAAAGTGAGCCCTCAAGTTGAGTTAAAGTGAGCCCTCAAGTTGAGTTAAAGTAAGCCCTCAAGTTGAGTTAAAGTGAGCCCTCAAGTTGAGTTAAAGTGAGCCCTCAAGTTGAGTTAAAGTAAGCCCTCAAGTTGAGTTAAAGTGAGCCCTCAAGTTGAGTTAAAGTAAGCCCTCAAGTTGAGTTAAAGTAAGCCCTCAAGTTGAGTTAAAGTAAGCCCTCAAGTTGAGTTAAAGTGAGCCCTCAAATTGAGTTAAAGTAAGCCCTCAAGTTGAGTCAAAGTAAGTCCTCAAGTTGAGTTAAAGTGAGCCCTCAAGTTGAGTTAAAGTAAGCCCTCAAGGTGAGTTAAAGTAAGCCCTCAAGTTGAGTCAAAGTAAGTCCTCAAGTTGAGTTAAAGTGAGCCCTCAAGTTGAGTTAAAGTAAGCCCTCAAGGTGAGTTAAAGTAAGCCCTCAAGTTGAGTCAAAGTAAGTCCTCAAGTTGAGTTAAAGTGAGCCCTCAAGGTGAGTTAAAGTAAGCCCTCAAGGTGAGTTAAAGTAAGCCCTCAAGTTGAGTTAAAGTGAGCCCTCAAGTTGAGTTAAAGTGAGCCCTCAAGTTGAGTCAAAGTAAGCCCTCAAGTTGAGTTAAAGTGAGCCCTCAAGTTGAGTTAAAGTAAGCCCTCAAGTTGAGTTAAAGTGAGCCCTCAAGTTGAGTTATTTAGAGTGAAAGAGCGTTAATGATTTCTGTGACATAACCCAAAGCACAACGTTTTCCTAAACTTAACCCCCCCAAAAAACCAATGTTAACCACAATGTTAACCATGTTTTTAACGTCATGTGACCTATAGTGAGTAATGTACTTTTAAAGGCCGGTACACCTGTGGCTGCTTTCCAACAGACATATTTAGTTGTTTTGGGAGGCACTGACAAATTTTGACGATTAGGTATGAGGACATGTTCCACTTTCCACAGAGCAACGCCACTGGCACGGCTACAAACAAAACTAGGCAGACCACTGCTGGCTAGTCCTGTTTACTTGTTGACAGTTAAAAACAAACCCTGCATATTTAATAGGTGGTGGGGATTGTCAGCATGAAACAGAAAACATGTCTACTATGGTTGGTTGGTTGGTCGGTTGGTCGGTTGGTTGGTCGGTTGGTAGGTAGGTAGGTAGATCTTTATTGATCCCCAAAGGAAAATTGCGATGTTGCAGCTGCAAAACTGACACAGATTACAAAGATTTACAGACCAGACATATTTACACAAACTAACATATAATGTACAAAATTTCCTTTAAAAAAATATATTTACAACTAATATTACAAATCTGAGATGTATACTCTAGTGCAACTGTGAGCATATTCAGGATGTGCAATTTAGTATCACTTGCTAATATTGAGAGTGTTTACTATTATGTTTAACTATAATCTAATTTCCTTTATCATTGTTAAAATTATTATAATTAATATTATTTTTAATTTTACATGAAAATAAAGGTTAGAATTGATAATTTTTGTTTTAAATGTTTCTCCAACTGAGGACCTTTGTCTGAACATTTGGTATGTTATGAAAATCTATTCCACAGTTAAAACAGTAAGTCTTGATAAAGTTACATCTTTTTGTCACTAATTGTCAACAAAAGGTTTTTCTTTTGCAGTTTTGAATGTTAACAATACATTTGTGACAGTTTTGAGGTAAAACCGTGAGATTGGCTACCACTGGGCCAAAATATCGGTATTTTAGTAATTTAAAACAACGGGTCATAATAACCGCTGGTACTCCCAGTATTGCTTCAAGACATAATTAGAAGTTAAAACACAACAAATAAATCTATTATTTAGTCAAATTAATGGACTTGGATTTGGTACAGCAGGTAGCAGCAGCACAGTTAAGCCTTTGTCCCTGTAAGTTGAGGCATGTGCAGCTGTAAGAAACAGTCAGAAAGGTCATTACAGAGTAATTGCAGGACTGGAGACGTGCCATCCATGTATATTTGCTGTGAGAGAGCTATATGGTTGCATGCTTTATCACTCACTTCACTGCCACTGTATACTGCGTGGAAACACTTTCAAGTAGCTTCTTTTTAAAAACCCATTTAATCCTTTGGTGTCACTTTCTGACTGTGCCAGAGGATACAAGAGAGAGTGATATACAAGGACGGAGAGAGTGTTGGAGGACAGATGGAGTGATTGGCAGAAGCAGAGGGGAGTGGGGTGGAAAAGAAAAGCCAGGACAAGCGAGCGAGATGAAGAAAAAAGCGGAGGGATAAGACAGAAAAGCAAGCGGCAGAGTTCATTTCACACAATCTGTCTCTCGACAGGGTGCAAATGCTTTGTTCCCCACCAAAAAAAAAAATACATTATGGAAATAATCATCAGCACATTACACAGTTTCCATAATTCAACAATCATGCAACAGCTTCCTGATGAGAATAAATAATTTTCCATCTGGCAAAGAAATAGAATATTCTTGTGTAGTTTATGAGTGGGCCACTGTGTCACATCGGGAATGGATGTGTTCTCTTGTGGGCTGTGATGGAGTGAATTTAAAACATGATTTGAACGATCAGAAATGCAAATTGAGTTTAAATGAGATGTTAAGAGGAAAAGTAGCATAATTCATCATCAACTACAGCAACATCTTCAATGAACCTACTGGCTCTTAACCCTAGTGTTCTGCAGACATTGGCTTTACTCGCTCATTGTTTGATGCGCCACAGACCCCACTGGCACTTGTATAATAATAATTGCAAAAATGACATAGTCCTCCTTTAAACCAAATGAGTATTCAAGTGGTAACTCTTCACTTTGACACAAACTAAGCTCGCGCATTTAAGGAAAGTGGCAAAAAAACATGGAAATTTCTAAAAAGCATTGTGATAACACCAAATATAGTATGTTATCCTACATAATGGTGTTATGTTTGGGGTCAGTTAGATCCCAGAGAGGTTTGACCGCATACAAACAAACCCCAACAACAGAAATCCAAACATGTAGAAGTAAAGAAAGAGAAATGTCATCTCTCTAATACAGGCAGGAGTGTGTGTATATGTAAATGCTCCGTACTTGTATAGCGCCTTTCTAGTCTTTTCGACCACAAAGTGCTTTTATACTACATCTGCATTCACCGTTCACTCACTGAGTGCTCAAACAGAAACTAACATTCGCACACATTCATACACCGGCGGAACAGCCACCAGGAGCAATTCGGGGTTCAGTATCTTGCCCAAGGACAGTTCGACATGCAGCCTGGAGGAGCCGGGGATTGAACCGCCCACTTTCCAATTAACGGGCAACCCCTTCTACCTCCCGAGCCACAGCCGCCCCTGTGTGTGTGTTTGTATTTCGATTATGTCGAGTACCGTTCATCCAATTGACCTCCAACGTGGCGGGTGTGTTGCTGCAGACCCAAGGTAATGCAGTGGTGCTATTCGGAAACGCAACAGGTTCAGAATTAATAAACTCTGAATAAAATGCACAACAGCCACCCTGCTCTGCAATAGCAAAGCCCAATAGCAAAGGGCTTATATGCCCTAATGCACTCTGTGATACATGTAAGAAATGAATGTGTTGAAACGGAGTTGTTAGAGTGTATCTAGCAGTATCTCCGCCACTGCCGTGTTGTTACAGTGTTATTAATGCTGCAGGCGAAACCAATGTGAGATGCACATTTTGAACGAGCACTGCACTAAAAAGCTCAAGGAGGCATCACAACAACCCCTGTGAACGGGCACTGAACTAGTAGAAATTACAATCCATCGTATTTAACCAAGTTTTACAGCTGTGGTACCGAACAGAAGCAATACATCAATTTTTGTAGTGGGCCTGTGAAACATGTTTCTAACCAGTTCTTATATTTCTGAAAAAAGTCATGAGGTGTCAAGATGATTGAAGAATGTTAAGTATGTTTTTTTGTCCCGGGATCTCCAGGACCCCAAACACAACATGACGGGAATGCAACTCCATCCATCCATCCATCCATCGTCAACCGCTTATCCTGTGTACAGGGGTTGGAGCTGGAGCCAGTCCCAGCTGACATCGAGTGAAAGGTGGGGTCCACCCTCGACAGGTCGCCAGTCCATCGCAGGGCCACACATAGACAAACAAGCAGTCACACCCACACTCACACCTAAGGACAATTTAGGGTCACCAATCAACCTAGGCCACATGTCTTTGGACAGTGGGAGGAATACAACTCAATTTACACAATTACATTGTACTTAAGACTTCTGTTTGATGATTGCTGTGAATGGCCAAATTCAGAGCGACTGCAGATATAAAACATGACTTGAAATATAAGGAGGTTGTTGTAGAGTCAGAGGGAATATATCTTAAGGACTGTTAGTGTCTTTGGACAGAGTCTGTGCTGTCTCAGCTAATCTTGAAGAGCCACACTGACTCTTAGAGTTAAGCGAATTTAAGCCTTTTTCTTCGACTTCTCTGACAGGCTGTTAGCTGGGACGTCGTGCAGTGAATCACTATGTAAACAACTCCTTGTGAGTTACATAAAAGAGCTGAACAGTGAGGGGGAAAAAACATGTTTCATCATATTCTTGTATGAGAAACATTTGATT